CACTACCAAAGGTCGAGGAACTCATGGACAGACTACATGGGGTGCATTACTTCACCAAGATCGACCTCTACTCAGGATACCACCAGATCCGAGTACGAGCGTTAGACATGGAGAAGGCCACCTTTATCAGCAGATACGGGTCATTCAAGTACCTCGTTATGCCCTTCGGTCTGTGCAATGCCCCAGCCACTTTTCAGAGGTAATGAATATGATTCTACGAGATGGGCTGGACAAATTCGTTTTAGTATTCCTCAATGACATTTTGGTGTACAATTGGACCAGAGAGGAACACATTCAGCATCTTCACAACATTCTATGCTGCCCACAGTCAGACGAGTTCTATGGAAGATTGGCAAAGTGTGACTTCTTTTGTACCAAGGTGGATATCTGGGATTTGATGTGGGGGAATATGGAATAAAGCCATCGCTATCAAAAATTCGTGCGATAGCTGAGTGACCGATACTAGAATGTGGGAGAAATGTATGCTCGTTTGTGGGACTGGCAAATTTATATAGGAAGTTCATTCAGTGGTTCAGTGAGATTGCCAGTCCACTAACTGACCGTACGAAAAAGGATCATAAGTTTGAATGAAGCCCAAAGGAGGAAGAAGCCTTTGAAAGGCTCAAGACAATATTAATCTCTACACCTATACTGCAGTTGCTTGATTTTGGCAAGAAGTTTACAATAACCACAGATGTGTCAGAGGTGTCTATGAGAGGTATATTGCAGCAGAACTTTGGTCAGAAGTTGCAACTAGTGGCGTATGAGAGCAGGAAGCTGAACCTGACAGAGTGCAGATACAGCACATATGAACGTGAAATGTTGGGGATTGTGTGGGCCGTTGGCAAGAGGAGGCACTACCTAGCTGACCAACACTTCGTCATTCAGACTGGCCGCAACTCCCTCAAGAATCTTCCAAACTAGTCATCGGTCAACAGAAGGATTTGGAAGTGGATACAAGTGTTGCAAGGTTACGACTGCGACATCTGCATATTGTGGGCAAGGTCAACCTTGCAGACTACTTGTCTAGCGTAAAGGAGCTTAAGAGCATGGTGGATATACGCACCCAGGAGGAGTCAATGGTATAGGGATTGAGGTTGGGTGATGAGGAGGTTACAGATGAGCACATCTAGAATAAGCTGGACAAGGTGTTCAAGGGGCCCCTTGTCCCAGGACAGATGCAATAAAAGCATTAGCGGTTTTGAGTGAGTGTCATTCTTTATTGTCAGTGACTCGTTCAAGGATTTCATTGGATTCATCATTGTAGGAAAAGATCAAGTCAATATACGAGAAAGATTCCCGATGGACTGACATCGTGTCTGAGTTGAGGTCGGACCCACAGAAAAATCTGGTCAAGAGAGGAGTCAAGAACTATAGACTAGCTCACCATTGCTTGGAGATAAATGATTGCGAGGGACCAAAGGAAGTTAACAGGTGGAGATTGGTTATTTCTAATATCCCTGAGGTCAAGCAGAAGATCATGGAGAAGGTGCACTTAGTGCCCTACTCAGCACATGTGGGATATCAGAAGAGGTTGACAAAACTACAGCAGAACTTCTACTGGCCGGATCACACACTAGACACCAGGGAATTTGTGACCAGCTGTCCAATGTGTCAGTCAGAGAAAAGCGTGCATCGCTAATTAGTAGGACTTCTTCAGCCACTATAGCTACCAGAACAAAAGTGGGCAGATATCATGGATTTCATCATAGGACTGTAGTGGTCAGATTCAGGCAGAGACGGAATCCTCACAGTGGTGGATAGGGTTACCAAGATGGTACATCTTATTCCGGTGTACCAGACCATCACAACAATAGAGACAGCCCAGATTTACTAAAACTAAATGGGAAAACTACACGGGATTCCAAGATTAGTCATCAGCGACAAGGATCAAAGTTTCTTCTCTAGGTTTTGGCAGGAGTTCTGGAGGTTGTTGGGAAGCAAGCTGAGGATGTCAACAGTGCACCACCCACAAAACCGATGGACAAATAGAGGCTGTCAACCAGGTGGTGGAGATGACATTGTGATGCACACTACACGCGAGTCAAGAGCCCCGCCGGTGGGAGAAATATCTCTCAACGGCAGAATTCACTATCAACAACAGTCCGTGGACAGCAACAGGGTATACGCCATTCTATCTAAACTACAACTACCACCCGTGTACCTCGGCAGAACTTATTTGAGACGTTGACACCACCTTCCACAAGCGAGTCAACATTTTCGTGTCTCGAATATAGAAGATCTTCACCAAGGCTCATCGGTATCTGCACAGATCTCTGGACAGGTAGAAGAACTACGCATATGAAAGACGACGTGAACAGGTGTTCTATACAGATGACTAGGTGCTACTCAGTACGGAGAACTTATTGCTCAAGAATGCACTTGTACGCAAGCTAAAACATAGGTTCATTGGGCCTTTCTTCACTACTCAGAGGATTGGACCTATTGCATACGAGCTGGATCTACCATCTACGTGGAAGATTCATCCCGTATTCCACATGAGCTTGCTACGCCCCTTCAGGACATCGCAGTGGACTACGTCTACTGAACCTGTAGTGGGAGAGCTGGAGCCAAAGGAGGATGTGCCTTACGATGTGGAGAAGTTGTTGAGGTGGCGGTGGCGAGGACCAAGTAACCAACGACAAAATGAGTTCCTTGTGTTGTGGACATGATGGTCTCTTGACGATGCAACATGGATCCCGGTGGAAAAATTCATAAGCACCAGAGAATTAAAGAAGATGATGCAACGAGACAAGCTCAAAGAGGACCAGAGGTAGCCGACAGACGAGTGATTTATTTTGGAGGTCGAAAACTACCACCAGGGGAAGGTAGTTGTTGTGTGAACTTAATCTTTGGTTTTTTATTCAAGCAGAGTGAGATGCAACGCAAAGGTGCGCAAACCAATTATCCGCGCAGAGGCTCTGCATCGAGCGCAACGAGGCGATTTTGAGATTTTGGCCATTTTTGGGCCATTTTGCTGCATAGAAATGAGGGCTTTGAGCCTCAAAGTTTGAGGACGGTCTGGGTGCTTGTGGGGATGGTGGTTTAAGTACAGGGTGACTTGAGGGTTATGTAACCGTGCTATGTGCCGCAGGGACAAGATGCTAGGAACCCTGTAACGAACATCCCGTTTTGCTCTCACAGCCTGCCTGCGAACCACGCGCAAGGCAACGCCAGACCAATCCGCCCTTCCAACTGACGCACCGCTGCGGTGCGACACCTCTGCGGCAGAGGCCGTTCTGCCAGGGGGCCCACCATATTCGTGACGCATCGAGATTGCTCAAGCGACCGTGCCAATTATGCCTGGCCAATCGCCGGAGGGATCGTTGATCCATCGCACGGGGCGCACGCGGAAAAAACACATGCCACTGGCTATTGTAGGTGATTGGCCCCAGACCAGCCTATCACCATGCACAAGGGGGAGGCTCGGTCCGACCCCTCGATGTTACTGTTCTAGATCACTACCCTGCCCCGCACGGGCCGCTCGGCCCGGGGAGCAACCGCCCCAACACAACGCCTTTCCCGGATAGCCGGTCTGCCCGGGCTGCCATCCTCGGACCGTGACAACCGGACAAGAGCGAACGAGCGCCCCAATGACGCCCGCCTCCCGCGAGGCGAAGGGGTCCGCACCGACCATACGCGGACCACCAGGCGACGGAGGGATCTGGGGGCCCCGATAAAACCACGGCGCTTGGGCCCACCCACCACCTAGGCGGGACCACCCCGGCCTACTCCCTTATTGTATAATAATATAAGTTCCAGTTCAGGTTCTGTTACCATATCTTGCGCAGGGCGTCCCCCACACCAAAAGACCATTAGTAGGGCGTCCCCCACATCAGGCCTATGTGCGTAACAGCTACGGCTTTATTCCGGCCTTGAGTGCTTCCGTTGCATGGGGTTTGGTGCAAGGAAGGCGGTTGTGTCCGGCTCATAGAGTTGTGCAGAATGACCGTATCTATAACAGACTCTACGCAGTGTTTTTGTACTGTATTGTATCTGGAGAGTGCCAATTCGAGTTTGTCTACTTGCAGTTGTATTTAAACCATTATATACTGGCCCTTACTTTTATTTTCATTTCTTTCAACATTTATTATGTCATTTTCTTTCCATTGGCTTTGCTAATAGCCCATAACCTTAGTCAATGCAGTTGTATTCTCATAGAATATCTACAAATTACCAGCATCAACTTTGTGCCCCTTAAAAAAAATAGTTTTCAAACTCCTGGGCACTTTCCATACTTTCTTTTCTATGACTGAAACGGTGGCATACTCAAGCCATCCCATTCAGTGGGGGCATTGGTCGTGATTCTCTTGTGAGTGCATCACAATCCGGTCACCAGAACGTGCAAAGATGGCTGCTAATTGCAGGCCATTTTGCAGTGAATCGAACAACATCCGGCCAGAACATCTCCTATTTTCGTCCCACGCGCTCCCACCCTTCGGGACGGTTTCCGGCTGTACCTCCCGGGCCTTACTGTCTCCAGGGATGCGTCATCACGAAATAATATTACTGCCTGCACCAAATCGGTGATAGCTTGCACCAAGTCACGTGCACACTTTGTCCTAACCTTAGTTTTAGGTTTAGGTTTAGTTCAGGGTGAGTTTTAGGGTTAGGGTTAGGGTTAGGACAGGTTTAGGTTTAGGTTTTAGGGTTTAGGTTTTATGTTAGGTTAGTTTTGACGGAGTTGGACATGATGTGCACGTGACTTGGTGCAAGAAGTCACCGTTTTCGTGCAAGCAGTCACCGATTTGATGCAGGGAGTAATTTTATGCCCGTCATCACCCTCGCGGGGTGCGCATCATTCCTGAGTCCCCTTGGCACGTGATCCTCCTGTGGGCCGGGCGCCAGTACTGGGCCAGGTCCCCTCCCTGAGCGGGATCAGCGCCCATCGATGTTGACTGATATCGGAGCCCCTTGGGTCCTCCCGCCCAACAGCAGGGAGGCCGGTGGCCGGAGGCAGCACCGCGGCGCTCGTGCGCTGGGCGGGGCCGCCGCCGGCGATGGGCTTCGCCAAGACGTGCGCCCGAGCCCTCAAGGCTCTGTGGAGCGGGGGCTCGGGGGCCCACGGCGCGAAGGGCGGGCCGTCGGGTCGTCCCCCAAGCGGTGCAGGAGCGGCCAGGTGGGTGTCATCGCCGCGATCTCGATCCCCATGACCGGCCTGCCTGCCGCCCGCGCGCCTTCTGAGTCTAGGCGCTGTGTGTGCGCACGGTGGCAGTGGGCGAGCGGGGGAGGATGGCGGCGCGAGGTGCGGCGAGACGGGCCCCAAGCCCCTGGGTCCAACGCAGTGGGAGACGACGCCCGGCGCCCAGGGGCCGCGATCAGGCGGTGGAGCTGGGGCTTCGGGGCCGCCCGGCCTCGCAGCGGCCGGGGGGACCGGCCTGAGGCGTCACAGCGGGGGCCGCGACGGCGATCAGCGCCACGGCGCCGCCGACGGCCGCGGCGCAGACTTCCCGTGCGCCGACGACGCCGGGCCCCGCGCGAACCCCGTGCCACGCCGGCTGAAGAATGTTCCCATCAAGGGCCCCAAGGAAGGGGGCTGGAGGTTGGGCAGCGAGTGGCCGCGCGTGGAGGGCCTTCGCGGGGGCAGGGACCCGTCCAGGTGGCAGAGGGGCCCGAGAGCGGGCAAGGGCGGGAGGCCGTACCAGCCTGAGGCGCCCCCAGCGGGCGATCCGGCCGGGCGGCCGGGCACGCAGCCAAACATCGAGAAGCAGCTGGCGGCGCGGGGCGGGGCCGGCCAGTTGGGTGCCCGTAGGAATCGGAGGTCGGCGTCCGCGGGGGCCAGGCTGGACGGAGGCGACCTGCGGCGGGGCGTCGCGCCGAAGGAACCGGGTGCCAGAAGCGGGCGGTCGACGGCCCCCGTGCTGGGCCCGCCGCCCAGGAAGATGATGTCACGGGCCAACGGCGCGCCGCCGTCGGCCGGGGACGATCCCGGCCAGCGCGCCGGCAGGGGGACCGGTGCACGAAGCCGAGGGAGAGCGGGATCCGCCGACGCCGGCCGTCGGGCCGATCCGGCCGTGGACGGCGGCGGGAGCTCGTCGAGGTCGGAGCCGCGCAGGCGCGGCGACAGGGGCCCCGTGTGGGACAGGCTGAGCAGGTCCGCCTCGGAGTACTGGGGGAGACCCCAGGGGGGCGGGGGGCCGGCGCCCACCCTGCGCGATCGCCGCAGCCTGGGCAGGGGCGAGCCCGCGGTGGAGTCCGCCCCGCCGCAGTGGAGGTCGTCGAGGTCGATGTCCGCGCCCGGGCTGGCGCCGATGCCGGCCGCGAGGGCGGGGGGCGGCAGGGAGCGGACCAGGAGCAGGGGCAGGCGCAGGGCGCTGCCCGAGCGCGCGAAGTCGGCGGAGCCGACGACGGCCGAGGCGAACAACAGGGCGAGCTTCGAGTTCCCCAAGGCAAAGCCCGATCACAGGAGGAGGCGGGCGAAGTCGGGGTCTTTCGTGCGCAATTCGTGTGACGCGTCCGATGGGGGGCTCCCCCCCCGGCCGAGCTCCAGGTCGAGGGCGTCGACGGAGGCGGGCGGCGGCGGGATGAAGAGTTTGCCGGAAGGCAAGCAGGGCGTTGGTGATGGGGATAGGGCCAAGGGAGGGGAGGGGAAGGAGAACCGTTCCGCGGCCATGAACGGGGGCGGGCCGGAAAAATCGGATCCCGTTTGCGAGGAGGCGGGCAGGCTGTCGCCCGACTCGCCAGACCGCCTGGATGCATTGCTCTGTGCCGGGAGTGCGCATGGATCGAGGGGTGGATCGGTGGGAAGCCACAAACCGGACTGGAGCTTCAAGTGCAGCGGCGTGACGAGGAGCGCGGGGCCGAAACTAGAGAAGGTCAGGGAAGATGTCGGTGAGTCGGGGTCGTCACACGGTAGGAGAATAACATCGAGACAACCGATAACGGAGGGCAGGGTCAGCGTGAGGGGCTCCTGCACACTCAATAAAGAACCGACGGGGATTTGCAGTAGAGGGGGGGAGGAGCATTCGCTGTACGAGAAGCCGCACACCGCGGTGGGAGAGGAGCAGAGTTACGTGCGGCACCGCGTTTCAGATCAGGAGATTGTTGCGGAGCCCGCCAACGTCGCACATAGTACAACAGACGAGACGAACACAACAATGTTGGACAGGAAGAGCATTGCGTCGTCCACAGGGACGGGCCAGACTACGAGCGCACAGGAGACGTCCAGGAGCAGCAGCGCTTCGGTTTCTGGACAGGAAGGCAGGCAGAAGCGGTTTGGCAACATCGAAGTCATGCTTTGCACCCCTGATGGGACGACACAGGGGCGAGGCTCTGTTGTGTTGCCTGTGGATATGCCCACCACGCAGGCGATGGTGCCTTCAGGATCGCCAACAACACTGCCAGCCTCGGGGACTGAGGGAATGAAGCGCCCTTTGGACTTCCCAAGAAGTAGACCCTCTTCGGAAAAACAACCTCTGAGGCTAACTAATGGGAAAGCTGCGGAAGGTGCACCACCAAAGAGCCCACCATTGAAGCTGCTTCAAAACTTTGCCCTGCCTGATGGAAGCGCTGGAAACGGTGTGGTGTTGCTGGAGGAGAAGGCTCTGGACGTGCTGGAGATCACTGGGCAGCTGCTGCAGCTTGCAAAGGAAAAGCTGCCTGTCGCCGTGCAGAAGGAAAGTCTCAACAAGAAGACAGCTGATGCTATGGAATCTAAGCTTGATGTGGAAGCACCCAAGGGCAGCCCATCGCTGTCCACTGTGTCAAGTGACCATGCCTCAGGAAGCAGCATCCATGTGGGCAAAGAAGTCCAAGCCAATTACTCAGAAGGGAGTGTGAGCATCCCAGCGAAAGAAGGGACCAGCGCTGGCCATGGCGTGGGTGTCTCTGATGTACAGGAACTAGCTGGCACATCTGCAAGCCGTCACCTGCTGGACACTACAGGCGATGATGTTGCTGGCCAGGCACCAGGTCTGCAGCCATCGCATCCCATGGCGGATCTGGCGAGGGAAGAATCAAGGGAGGTGCCAAAACCGGATTTTGACGATGCGATTAAAGTGGGTGTTTGTGTGGAGGACGACGATGATGGCACGGCATCTGAGGCTGCATCCTCAGAACCTGTGGTGCCTGTTGCACCTCAGGGATGCCCTTATTGGCCACGTCCCAATGCCGAGAGGCCCTCTGAACATGCGCGTTCGGAAGGCTTGGAGGTGAGCAACAGAGCGGCGTCGCGAACAGTTCCCAATTCGCCTTCCACTGGCTGCAACAACGTCAAGGCGATCCCGCCCGTGCATCTGGGCGCAAGGGTGCAAGATTGGGTCATCCCTCACCCGGAAGGCGATGACACGCAGCTCTCGACCATCAAGGCGGTCGCTGGGCCCGCACCCAAGCAGGAAGGCGAACGCCCCGCAGGGGAGAGCGAAAAGCCATCCGAAGTTTGGGCGGGCTCCATTGCGGCGACACAGGGATCGGTGCCGAGCGCCTCCCATGCTCAGGAGCCATCGCCAGGTCAGAAATCAGATGCTGCCGACCAGGCGACGCCACAGCCGATTTCTGCGCCGCAGGCGCGGTCGCAGTCGAGCGCGTCCAGTTCCTTGGGGTCCACGGCGACGGCGTGCTCCGTAGGAGTCCAGTCCTCGCCTCGGCAGCAGGGAGCTGCGGCCGACGCCAAGGGGGATGCCTCGCAGACCGAGTGGCCACGCGTATACACCGTCCAGGCCACGCCGGGCGACGGCAAGGTGGCCGCCGCGTCGACCACGACGATCGACGACGACTTCGAGTTTGACCCGCCCTCGCCTCGCCACCCAGAGATGCTCAAGGTCGCGGGGGGCTACGAGGTGTGGAGTTTCAACCCCATGTGGCAGGAGGAGAGGCGCACGCCGACGCCCAGCATCGGGGACCCGTGCCTGTCCGGGCGCTCGACGCCCTCGCGGGACATGAGCCACTCACCGGTGCCGTCCAACGGGGGACATGCGAATCTGCCGACGCCGCCCACTGCCGACGGCGCGGGGTACGGAGTGCCCGAGGAGCCGCGGGGCCAGCGCAGGGTAGTGTCGAACGCGATACCGGTGATCGTAAAGGTGAGCTCCCCCCTTGGCGCCCTCCCGCAAACCTTCACCGTGAGGTGCGCTTGTGAATTCCAGAAGCAGGCTGGGTTTTGGCGCCGGGGATGCGATGTCCGTGGTGCTGGGACGACCGACGGGACGTTTCAATGGGCTGTCTCATGTCCTTGCTCACCGTCAGTCATGACATGACGATGCGCTGGTGACCACTAGGAAGGGTTTCCACGCCTGCGGGTTGCCATCGTTCAACTGCGATGCTGGCTGCTTTCCGCCATTTGCCTTGGGGTGATGCGGCAGCGACCGACGTTGTGCAGTTGTGCCTTCTGGATGCCCTTGTCCGCATATGGTATAGCACGACACAACGCAGGGCTTGCATCGACAATTGCATCCGTACCCAATGTGAAAAGGTAATAAAGTATGTACAGCAGACTTGCTCTTTTTGATACCATAGAACTAAATTTGACATGGTACTCTGGCATTGAAGGAAAGGCACCCGGGTGACGCACACTGCTAACCTTGCAGCAAGCGCTGGAAGGGAACGACAGGAGCCTTCCTGCACCCATGCAGCTCACATTGTCCCACACGCCAACGCTCCCTGACGGTTCGACTAGTTATGCCCCTGGAGGTCGCAGCAGATTGCCGTCGCTGCGTCTATTGCGGTCATCAGAGGCGCACTATTGGCCGTTGGCGTCTTTTGCACCAGCCAGAAGTGGCCACAGCCAGCGCCTGTGACCCACAGTTTCGCATTTGGCCCAACTGTGCCCGTCACAAGGACAAGAGCCCAGAGAGGCGTGATCCGGTGGCTCCCTTGCCGCTGACGCCGCCAGCAGGATGACACGTCACTCGTGTTGATGTGGCGGAAGCAAAAAATACCCCGCGTCCGCGTCGTGCTCCCAATTCTCTGCTGCCCCTTACGCCTGCCCGCCGCCTGGTTGCGGCGATGGGCAGACGCAAGCACGGCAAGCGCGGCGGGGGCCGCTCGGTGTCGAACGCCCAGGCGCAAGCGACGAAGGTCAGCTCATTGTTCTGAAGATTGTTCCTGATCATGGTGCTGGGCCGCCACGGGGTGTCATTGGTCCGCAGTTCGCATGCCGTGCCAAACGGGGAGGCCGCCGGCTGGCGGGGCACCACGTGAAGGGGCCGTCGGCTTTTTTGAGCTGTCTCCCCGGTGCAATGGTCGCAGATTGTGGGTTGATGGGCCCGAAGAGCGGATCGTGCCTGTGGCACCAGGCGGCGAGGTTCGGCGTCGACGGCGTTACGGGACGCCAAGGCGCCGTCCGAGATTTGACAATCGCGAACTGCAGTGCGACGGAGAAGCGCACCGCTGGCACCACAGCCGAGCTGCGCAGCAGGGGCGGGTTCTCTGAGCCGTGGAAAACTGCCCGGTTTGCCTCGGCGGCGTTGCGTCCCGCGAGCGCGATAATCTGCCGAGATCGCAGAGATTCGCTTGCTTTGCACCAGATTCTGGCGCATTGAAGTGCCATGAGCTGGGAATTGTCGACCTCGAGCACGATGCGTAGGGAAGCGGATTTGATTGAGGATCGTCGCAAGGGGCGGTTACCCCACCTCCGCACTCCCACACCTCCAAAGCCGTCGTCCTTGCAAGCAGCTTTTGAACTTTGGAAGCAGATTGCCTCCATCCCGCAGCAAGCTGTGCCCGCGGTGAAGATCTGCCGCCTCCAATCTGCCACCGCTGTCGTACGTGCTGCCACGTGTGCACGGGCGTACCATGACGATACACATTCGCCCCGACGTTGCCGCCGGCAGACCGTAGTTTTTTTTCCTTAAAAGCTGAGATTGGACGTTTGGGTTGATTCACTAGTTGAGTTGCAAGTCTCAGCAATGAAAGTCCTGATCCTGAGGTGCATCAGTAAGTAGGGTTTCCAGGTAGGGACTGGAGGCCCTGTTTGCTGTGAAGCCCCCGATCAGCAGAGAGGTCTCATTGTCAGCTGACAGTGCTTGGAGAATGCAATTACGGCTGTGATTGTGAGATAGATAGCAGCTGCCATGGCTGGATTATCATTCCCAAATTGGGAGAGAGGGGCCTTATGCGATTGTCGCACCCTTGCAGGCAGCACCGCCCGAGGCGACAGTTGCACCAGCGGGTAATGGGAAGGCACCTAGTGAACATGTGGTGGAACAAGAGGCTCCAGCGCCTTCCACCGCGATTGCAGGGGAGCTTCCCTCAGTGAGTGAGAAAACCGGAGAGAGCAAGGAGGTCATGGAGGCGACTGCTGCTGACGCTGGGGCAGGGGAAGTTGATCAACCAAGCAAGATGGAAGAGAGCTCAGAAGCAGAGAAAGTTGAAGAGGAACTGCAGCATGAAGCGCCTGCAGGCCATCCAGATAAACAGGAGGCAGGAACTCCTTGTGAGGATGCTGGCAAGAGTGAGCCAGAAGCGGTTGCTCCTCCAGTTGTCGAGCTGGTGGCCAATGGGCAGCCAAGTGAGCCAGACAAGATTCCTGCAGTCGATCAGGAGACTGAGGCTTCGAAGCCCCATGCCGTTGATGACAAGACAGCAGATGTGGAAAGTGAACCACCATTGACAGTTGCGCCTGGCGAGGAGGGTGCCCTCAAGGATGTCGCAACATCAGAAGAATGTGCACAGCCTGAAGCGGCCATGCAGGAAGTGGGAATCGACAAGGAAGAAAAGGAGGAAAGCCACACACCAGAGCTGGCTGTTTCCCAAGATGTTGTCGACGAGGTTTCTTCACCTGTTGTGGCACCTGTTGTGGCATCTGTTGTGACACCTGTTGTGGCACCTGTTGTGGCACCTGTTGTGGCACCTGTTGTGGAAGTGGCTGCTGAAACCATACCAGCAGCAGGGGCTGCTGAGGATGCAGCAGTTTCTGATGTCAAGGAAGTAGCTGGTGAAACCACACCAGCGGTAGTCACTGCGAAAGACACAGCCATTCCCTACGTTGTGGAAGTGGCTGGTGAGGACACAGCAGTTTCTGATGTTAATCAGGTAGCTGCTGAAACCACACCAGTGGTAGTGGCTGCCAAGGAAACAGCTGTTCCCAAGGTTGTGGAAGTGGCTGCTGAAGCCATACCAGCAGAAGTGGCTGCAAGGGGCACAGCAGTTCCCAGTGAGAGTGTGAAAGAGGTGCCGCCCTTGTGTGAGGAATCTGCTGCGTCCTTGACTGCTCAGGAAGCCTCGCCAGAGCAGCCAGCAGCCATTTGGGCTGCAGACGCTGTTGCAAGCGAGGTAATGGATGCTTGCATAGACAATGTGGCAGCTGAGTTGCAGGTGGATGCAAACACCGAACCTGCTAAGGGACCAGCTTTGGTTTCGCGCATTCCAAAACCACCAGCTGATGGAACAGCCAAAGGAGCAGAGGAGGTACCGTTGGCAACTGCTGATGATTTGAAGGAAGCTGCCCGATCCTCTGCAGCAGATGCTGCTGATCTGGCTGGGGAAACTCTGGCACCAGCAGCGGCAGATCGAGAGAAGGATGCCATGGCAGCTTTAGGACAGTCAGAGGCCACCAAAGTTGCTGTCAGGGAACTGCCCACCATGGTTGCTGATGCTGTGTTGCCGAGCGATGACGATGTGAAGCCCTCTGCTGACCCGATCTCATTGTCAGACATTGTAAGAGAGCATGCCACATCAGAGGAGCACCCTCCTGCTGTGAAGGAACATTTGTTGGCATTCGACGAGAAGATAAGGATGGAGTCTGTTGGTGAGACTCCCAAGCAGATAGCTGCTGTGGACACTTCAGAAGCGCCTGAACCGAAGGCAGCAGATGGTGTCACTGCACCAGCTCTTGCTGGTCAGGAGACTGAGGATACAGCTGCCAAGGATTCAGTGGTTGACCAGACCCCTGCTGCAGAAGTCGTGGTCCCTGCAGAGCAGGTTGCACCTGAAACTCCAGTGGATGCTGCAGAGTTGTTGAAACTGCAGGACAAGAACGAACCAGATGCTGGTGATGCCAAATCGTCAACAAGGGAGGTGCCTTCAGCTGTGGTGGAAGCAGTGGCTGCCCCTGTCAAAGAGCTTCAAGAACCAGTCTCAAGTGGTGAGTTGATGAGAATGCGACCCTTACATAATTCACCCTGAGGCTGGTATTGTGTCCTTGTTACTGTCAGTATTATGAAGCCAAGATAAACAGAAGCATGATGCCAACTGAAAAGTGGTTGAAGTCCATCTTAACCATCGGCATTGTTTTATGTGCCTTGCTTGTTGGAGGTAATGGGCAGTCGCTGCACGCTGATGCAATGGTGTGTGTCCCACATTTACCAAGCGAAATACAGCTCATATCAAAACCTCCTGGTAACAGCGTGAAATCAGTTATACTGAATGGTGTGAAGGGTTTACTCCATTGCCAGAAGGGTTTTGCTGTCAGTCGTGATTCGCTTGTATCAGAACAAGAGGTGTAAAGAACTGTTATTGTAGCTTTGGAATGGGAGCGGACCTGATGATTTGATATCATAAGCACCCAGAGGAGGGAGTGAATCTGAGTCAATGAGCAAGATATTACTGATTGTCTAAAGTGTGTTGGTGCATGTTGGTCACACAGGAGCTGCTTCTGCCATGGATGCAATATCACAGTCGTCAGCAGCCTCAAAGGTGGAAGCTGCTGGTGCTGCAGTTGGTGTGACGACGCCGGCAGCACCACAGGCAAATGGCGTAGCTGCAGACTTGACATCCGTTGATGCAACACAAGGTCTGTTGAGAAGAGCCATCCTTGTTTGGTTTCCTTTGGTTTTTGGATGCGGTGCACCCACTCCGCATTTTGTCTTCAGCGATTGGCTAGAAATGTTCCAAGGAGCTTTTGCTGTGCCAATCCTTACAAACAAACAGCAGAAACCATGGCTGTGTGTTTGCTGAGGTCATGTTCCAGCCAAAGATGATAGTGGTTTGTTTTCATCTACACTGAAATCAGCTTGTGCTGTGGCACTTGCTGATGGATCCTAGTCGCTATTGCGTGGAATTCACTATGGATTGCAGTTTGCAGGGTGTAACCCTGTGGAGATGCCTGCAGGGGTGCAAGAGCGTGCGGTGCCCTCAGAAGTGATCGTAGAAGTCAAAGGAGCTGCCACAGACGAGCAGACGAAGGTCTCAATGACGGAGTCCCAGCCTGAAGTGGCCCAGGGCACCCCAACAGAGAAGGAGGCCGTGGGAGAGCGAGAGACACAGCCCCTCACAGACGCGGATGAGGCTAAAGGACAGGTGTTGAAGAATGCTTCGGGAAGAAGGTTTTCTTTGAAGCGTTCATCCTTCAAGAAGGTCAGTGCCTGCATGTGTTTGTTGTTGTACTCTTGTGACGGCTCTGTCGCGTGCTGCTTTTGTGCAAAGCTCCAATGGGAATCGCTTGCACAACACCTGCAATGGCCTCTTCTAACCAGTCTGGACAGATGTACTCCAGGAGAGTTGTCCGAATCAGTTGCGTTTGCTTGTGTGCGGAGTACAAACGCTGAGTGCTGCACATGGAATGGATACTGCGTGGTCGAGGCAGCCCTAGGTGATTACCCTGCGGACAATAACATCTGGGCCACAACGGGCCACAGCTGGTCACCACTGGCCTCAGTCCCTCAAAGAAGTCAAGGGAATTTTTCCCAATATGAAACGTCGTCAATAGTACAATGGAGTGGCTAAGAAGCAACAGGAGCCAAATATGCTGATGCTCTCTGATTTTGTACTCATGCCGCATTTACATCCTGCAAATACTGCAACCATGAAGCTCTCAAGTGTTGTGTGAATAACTGCACGTGCCTGCACATGCTGAACTGAAACAAGTTTGTGAAAGAGACCAAGGGGCGAAGATCATTGAAACGGATTGGAAAGTAACGTTGCACATGTGCGTGTGCATGTCCAACAGTTGCGGACGGCCGCTGTGTCCAAGTCCAAGTCTGTGCTGGGCTGCTTCGGGGGACTGTTTGGCAAGGACGGCAGCCTTAGCAGGGTTGAGTGAAGTCGAGGGCGTTCAACATTGCTGCATCGGCGTCCGACTGGAGAGGAGGTCCATTGTGTACAGCACAGGGGTAGGGTACACTCTATTTGCATTGCTGCAATCCATGTTGGCAGCTGCAGAGTTGCATAGTATTGAGCGTCTTTGTGGTAGCCTTTTGTCATCTGACTGACAGCGCAACTAAGCCATTACTGAGGGCAGTTTGCTGGTGGAGATCAAACAAGGGCGGCAGGTGCAGTGGCGTACATGGTTGCATAGTAGGCGTTATGTGAAGTTTTTCGCTGAAAATATGGACTGGAGAGGGCAGGAGGATTTGATGATCTGTTCTCAGCTGCACTGTGGAATCGATTGTTGCGTTATAGAGGGCCGAGCTCGAGGGGTCTGACGAGTGTCGCACTTCACATTTCTAGCATGTGATGAAGTTGGCGGGTCTGAATTGTCAACATGTTGCACTGGCTCTGCTTCGTTGATCAATAACGGCGGACAAGTTTGCAGACTGTAGCTGCGTCCTCACACGAGTTGGGGGCGCAGCACGCATCAGACTGCAGAAGGGCATGCACGCCAACAGCCGTGCGGCCCCTGTGGGGACCGCAGCACCCCAACCCATTCCTGGGCACATCTTCTAGGCTTGCTTGTAGGGTTGTACAGTGAAGTTCGCGGTGGGCAATTGTGGGACATGTAAATGTGCAATTGGGAAGGGAAATCTGGCTGGAGAGTATGCTGCATGTGGACTTGTGCTAGGCCGCTTGAGCGGTAGCCTCCACTCCCAGCCACAAATATAGTGAAGAACAAGGCGATTCCACTTCGGTGTCACTCTGACGTCGCAGCCTTTCCCCAGCGCTGCCGGCCTCGCCCCTCGACGTCCGTAGTCCTCCAAGGATGCCCACATCTTACACCGCACAGCACCTGGTTCCAAGCATCAGGGGTCTGGCGACGTTTTCCTGGCTGTTGGATGTTCACTGATGATGGCCGCCTTTCGTCGCTCCAAATATTCTGTCTTCCGATTCCCCAACGGAGATCCCATTCTCATCCCAGCGTTCCCACTGCGGCCGTGGTGTTTGATTCCTTGAAGCCAAAGTGGATGTGTCTGATAACAGCATGAGACCAGGTGATATTGCGGCAAGCACAGCACACTTTTGTAGCTTCTCAGTGCATTGCCTTAAGAAACGGGTCTGGCCTCATGTCCCCATAAGGTCAAGTTGATTTTTAGGGTTTCGATTTCGCCTTGAGGCCTCACCCAATAAGGATGACCTGCGCTTTCATCATATGCATGCAGAGTATGCGTTGTAGGCCCGCTGGAGTAAAGCGGTGCAGAGAAATGTCAATAAACGAGATGGATGACGAGGTGGGCTTCAGGGTGTCCACATCAACATGACAGGAGTGGCGGCTCTGGCGTTTGCTGCGTGCAAGCATTCTTGTCTATTGACGGTGCAAAAGCAACATTCCAACGTTTCCGCACTAACAGGCTGACACTACGGCGATGCGGGCACATCAACAACGTGCATCACATCAGTGAGAGCATTGCCCACCTTGAGAACGCGTAAATCATAATATTTCAAACTGTAGCCACAGTGCTGTTTGTGTGCTGGAACGACAGTGCGAGAAATACACGCCTTTGGATTTTGCATACTGCAGACTGTGCTGTTGGGCACCACTTTGATTTGAGCACCCCCTGGATGATTCGGATATTCTTCCTATCCATTGTCCATTTTGGTACAATACTCTTGTTTTGTGAACAATTGTGATTGTATCTTCATGCCTCCCAGGAAGAAACTGCGGCTTTCAGCCACATTGCTGTTCTTTTCCGCGACAGTGATACGAACTGGTTTTTGACACAGTGGCCATGGTTCAAAATGCGATCGGGGTGGGGTGGGGTGGGGGGTGGGGTGGGTAAAGGGCACAATGAGTCGGCCGCCAGCAAGCGGTTCCCTGCAGAGAGGGCCAGCAGCTACCAGCCTTGCGTGAGTACTGCTTGTGCTGCGGCCGACCCCTATCCAGTGGGAAAACTCCGCCTGGAAGCCATCACGAGTTATTCATGGGCGGCAGGCGTCCCGGCATGTCCAAGTAATGCACACCAAAAACTCTGAAATTTAAAGGCCTAACCACACCCCTCAAAACACTCAGATGTGAGTTGCTTACCATTTAATGCATTTGAGATATTGCCATAAGCGTGCGACATGAGGCACAAGAGAGGCAAACAATACTCTGGAGCGTTGATGTTACTTTAGATGCTTTGGTCACAAACTTGCTGGACACAACAAGGCTGTGAGTGACGGCCCATAGCAAGCTGATAGCTCCTTTGAATACCACTGCTCTCCATGCGCACCCACACAACGACGATCGTCTGGGAAGCCCTCCACTAGGGACCACCACCGGCTTGTGTGTGCTGCACACGGAGGCAAGGAGCTGAGCTCGCCTGAAGCAATGGCGACAGTCAATACGATCCACAAGCATTTCCTGCGAAAATTTCGGTGCATTGTCTGCGGCCTGAAAGTTTTATTCGCAAAATCCCAAATATTTGTGGAGCCGCAAGCACCTGGACGGCAATGGTGGCAGTGGCCAGCAGCATTTCGTGACCATCGTTGAGGCCATGTTATGAAAAGTGTGGCCACAGTGGCACGAGTTGGCCTGAGAGGGAGCAATATGCACAGTCTTAGAAACTTGGGACCCAGTCCCAAGCGCTCCAAGAGTGTCAGTCTGACACTCTTGGAGCATACACAGCGTGGCAATGTGGAAAATTGTCAATCGCGTCATATGCAGCAACGAACCGGCGCACTGTCATCATCAATGCTAAAAGTGCCGTTAGTCACGAGCGCCGGTACATCAAAGGCGGGCTCATGACCGACATAGGGCAGCTGACTGGGCCACTATCAAACATCCAGTCAGGTTGAAAGTGAAAAGAATAGAGAAGCCAGCGAAGAAAAGAAGAGGTATGCGCACATAAAAAGAACAAGGGAGAGCTACTATATAAACGGCATATTAAGAAAACATCAGATGGTTGATCTGCCTTTATGATTTATGGTGCCTAACACACTGCCTGGGCGATGGCTGTCGAAGGAAGACTGAGAAAATAATGAGCTCTGATCTACATAAGGATCTGACCAAGAAAAGATAACCAGCTGCATGCATAGAACGCCTTGAAACGTTCAGCCCAGGGATGTCGACGGGACACATGGGCAAGAGCTGGATAGGAAAAGCATACATAAGATGAGCTGCTGTAGATTACAAGGAACTGGATGATCAGAAATCGAGTTCATTAACAATGCTAGATGAACAGAATGTTTGAAGAAACAACAACTGAAGCATGGACAATATCTGAAGATGAAAAGGAAAGAAACACAAGGCGAAGCTGCCGGAGTTTATGCACGGTTCAGTGTGAAGGGCTGCAGCTTGGCACGATTACATGTGAATACACATATTGGAAATATAGGTCTTAATGTTAGGTGTTGACTACAGTAGCCCTAATATGCGCCTGATGTGACTGCTGGACCTGAAGTCATACGACCACGAAACTCAAAAAGTCCTGCTGCTGTGATGTTCGTTGATAAGAAGAAAGGGAAAAAGGGTACTCTCAAAAGGAACACAGACAGTTCATGGCAGGGATTAGAGGCCAAGGAAAATAGCTAAGGAAATTTCGAAAGGGATGTAAGAGACCGCAGCTATACGGAGGTGAAGAGCTGGCTGAACATTATAGCATTTTGCTAAGACTTTGGCAGCTGCCAAGGTAACTCTAAATAATGAACTAAGGATGCTGGAAGAAAGCACCAAAATGGCAAGGCAATTATGCGCCCGCCAGTGCTTTAAACTAGGAGGTGACGGTGATTGAGGCGAGCGCAACGCCAGGGCATGGTACACGAGGAGACCTGCTGCCGTCTGAGGTTTATTCTGATGATAGAGCATGACCCACAGGGCAGTACGGATGCTGCCCGACGGTCGGACTGATTTGCAGCCTTGAAACACCAGAAAGGGACTTTGGAATGCAACTGAAACTCAACACCAGTCTATCACAGCCCTCCCTTGGCTAGACGGAACCAGGATGAGCTTTGTGCATGCGCTTACACTTGCATATTAGTGACGTAATTTGACTGACATCCATATTTGGATGTCGTACTATGATGAAACGCGACCGGCTTGCATTGCGTTGGCCTCCCACATACCCAAACTTATACCGTCAAGGGTACGGAGATAGCCCTGTAGGTTGCTCAGTAGGATTGAGCCTTTTTTGATGTGTCACATGCGCTGACAGCCGAGTGAGCCGTATAGAGCTGCGGGAACCGGGCCTTGTGCCTGAGAAGCCTCCGCCTAAGACCCCCACGACCTGAGAGGCTTGCGCATGGTGCACAAGGTAAATTCGAACCCTGCAATTGGTACAAGCTCGTTCGCAGAACCATGTTGAACGTGTTGAACGACGCTGATGCTGGTGGCACCACTTACGTTGGCTAGTAGTACATTAAAACATTTGTACATTAATATTTGTACATTATATATTTCATTATACACGATTGTACATTGATTGACAGGTTAAGTGTGCGTGGAGCACACTCTGTAACGTCTCTCGTTGGGTTTCGCGCTCTCTCGCACGCAGCCCACGCGTGGTCCTCGTTGGGACTCGCATCAGACGTGGCTTCCCTCCAGCCGGACGGGATGCTCGGAGGGGCTGGAAAGAGGGGTCCAGTTTGGATCCCATAAGCCAACGGCCTCTCCACCAACTGCCAAAGAAAGCTTTGAGCTGCAATGGAGGGTCGGTCGGTGGTAGAAATGGGGGCGGCATTAGCGATGGCGGACCAACCCCTGATGTGGCAGGCGCAAACGGCGAGGGCCTCGGATGGCCAACCTCCGACGCTGAAAGCGAGGCGGAGGCAAACGACAAGCTTGGGGGTCCGGCGGACGCGAAGGCAGAGCAACTTGATGGGGCACATGATGAGCAACTGACGGATGCGGAGGCACCTTGCACGGATGATGACACGGACTACCTAAGCGTGGGCGAGGGAAGCAGCGCGGCGTGCACAAAAAGCATGGATGGAGGTTGAACATTCGGACGGAGGCTGTGAGGGTCCGGAAACCGAAGGGAAGCAGCAGGAGCTCCTTGTGGTGAGGCGGTGTTCACAAAGGTTGATTGGAAACGTTAGTAATCTACGCTCTTTGCTTAGTAAAAAGTGTTATGAAAAGTGCATAAGCAAGTAGAGTTGTTTGGAGAACGGTTGGCTCAACGGGATGATAATAGTGAGCTAGATCACGAAGTGTGATCGCAATGGTACTTCATTTGTATCTCAATGGGTTCTCAAGGGGATATTCGAACGGATGGAGGAATCTAGGTAATTAGAGTAGAGCTGCGCTTGTTAGTGAGCCGGCTGACCCTAGATTGCAAAACTAGAGGAATTTAGTTCGAATAAGTTGATATGGGCAGTGGAAAGGGACTAAATCAGATGATTAGTATGACTTTTATGATTCGCTTGATGAATAAAATATTCCAGAGGATTATTATGGAATTTTCCTAGGTGAGTTGGCAGCCGCGCGGGCTATAAATAGTGGGGCAGGACCCCATTTGGACAACCGACTCGACCCGACCAGCTCCAGAGCCACTAGGCAAAGGAACTACGAAATGGGAACTAGACCTAATAAGTTGTAAAACAGGTCGTAGTCTGTGGAAGACTACTCTGTAACTACGAGTTTGGTTCTCGTTTACTAAATAATTGAACTTTTGGTTTAAACGACAAAATAATAGCTGGTCTATTGGGAAACCTGCCGGGCCCCAAACCAGTTGTAAGTATAGCTAGAAACTGAGGCTTCGAACTATTGGGGAAAACCTACGGGGTCCCAGGTCCAGCCCAGTACTTTGTGGGGAAGCCTTCGGGGCTCCCACTAAAGTACTGAAGTAAAAGGCCAAAGTACCGAATCCAGAGGAGTACAAACTTAGTAATAGTTTAGAGGACAGTCGGTAAAGTGCGACAAGAGGTACTGAACTGCTGAGCACAGAGCGAGCAACATTTAGCTGAGTCTAGAAGGACCTAAAGGTAAGTGACGTCAATAAAGTGAATCAAATTTTGGTTTTGTTCAGTGTGAACATCTCCAGACATCTGTTAAAGTACTGCCTCAGTGAGGTCCAGTACAGAGTATAGAGGTGAGAGCTGTAATCAAACAAAATCATTGCAGAATTACAGTTATACAAGTCTCTTCCATTATCCACTTAGTCATGTGCAATACAAGTCTGGAAGCATGAGCTGCTCTGAGAAGAAACCGAAAGACTTGAGCAGTGACACCAGTACATGGCCACCAGCTCCTAAGTCCAGTACTTTAGAGTGCCCTGCAGCTCCTATGAAAGATAACCTTTAGAAAAGTACACACGAAGATCAAAGACAATCATTGACAAGGGTTCAGGCTTGCCAGTTGAGGAAAAACTGGAAAGAGCTGCCTGGGAAAGTCTTTCAAAGCTAATTCGCATAAGAACAAAGAACTTTTCCCATAAACAACAGGAAAACTAGACATAAAGGTGTGTGCTGACGACGTGCTAGTGTCTTTAGGCAGTGCACATAGTCAAGGTACCAGCCCCAAGGGCTGGCTGGGTATATTTATTAATACCAACCAGTTGGTAAGGATCTGGAAGGCCATAGGAAGTTTGTTCTTGACTTTGTTTTGTGTCAACCTGTGTGCGTACAGTCCCATCCTTATTGTGCGACTTGCAACATTGTTTCAAAGGGTGTGCAGCCAGTGCTGGCGCATTCTGTTGTCATTTATGCGTGGTGAGACCTTGCAGCTGGCTGGCATAGCCAGAGAACTCGCCCGCGTAAAGGGACAGCTGAGTTTCCTGTGGAACTCTGAGTGCGTAATGCACAGCCAGACCAGGCAGGAAAGGGACGTCGTACCCATCACGTCACAGCCTGTGATGGGTGTGGTTGCTGGCACAACCAGTAATCCCTTCCACTTCCAACTGGCCTGTGCTTTTGCAACTGGAGTAGTAATAGGTTGTTGTGTGTCCTTAGGATCCCTTTGCTTGGGGATCTGGGTTGGACACATTCTGTAGCGTGCATATACGTGGCCGTGTCTCACCAGCCATATTTGGCAGTCACACGAGATGGCCATCGAACAATCAAGATGATGAGTCAGCTTTGCAGCATAGTGGCAGTTGGCACCCACCATGGAATTGGACCGATGGCAACAGTAGGAAACTCCAAGTCCAAAGACATCGAGTCGTCGATTTTTGAGCGTCAGAATCAAGGCCAGTTGGCAGTTTTCTAAGGGCATGTTCCAGCGATTGTGGTCAGGCAAACTGTCCGACTTAGGTGTCCTCATTCGGCCATTTGAGCCGGTCATTTGATTGAACTCTAATTCGCACTTCTTTCCAGCACTTCTTTCTTGTCACTTTTGCAGTGCGAGAACTCCAGGCGGAGCTACAGGGAGTGGAAAACGGGACGTGGGGTGGGACGGGGGGAGGACACCGCAGCCGCACTCAGAACATGCAATCACGCGTTCGCTCAAGCGGCGGGGACTTCCTTCGTTAACGGGGCGGTGATCAGTCTTCGTCTCCACGACGCCAAGAACCGTTGGCCGCAATCCCATCACAGGCACAAAGGACGCTGGACGTGGGGGGCAACAGCGCGGACGCGACTGCCTCCGCACACGCACCCGACAGCATGGGCGGCGAAGGGGACGCTCACGGAGAAGCGATTCGTTCCGACGGCGATGACTCGCCCTGGGCGGGCATGATGGACGACCTGTTCGAATCCCTGCTGGCCCGGCTGAATTGCAGGCAGGTGGCGCCCCTGAGAAGCGTCTGCTCGCGCTGGAGGGACAAGGCCCGCCGGCTGCTCTTGAGGTTCGAGACACGGCCACGCCATCTGCGGCCGATGCCCCAGCACATGCCCGCATCCCTCCCGGACCTGTTCCCAGCCCTGAACACAATTAAGATGGACTTCCGCGGGGATGCTAGGTGGCGTGGGTCGATCGCATGCCTGAGCCAGCTCGGGCGGTTGCGGCAGCTGGAGCTGAGCGGCGGCGCCGTGAGGCCGTGGGGGCTGCCGAGCATGGATTTGGGGCCTCTGTCGGGATGCCCGTGCCTGAGCTGGCTGAAGCTTGTGCGTTGCCGCTGCACCGCCGGTGCGGGCCTCCAGCGGCTGACCCAGCTGCAGGAGCTGACGCTCAGCCGCTGCTCGATCGACGCGTGGGACCCCGGCCTAGTGTGGATCCTGGCGCCGATTAGGGGGCTGCGGCATCTTAGGATAGATGGGTACACGGACGAGGCGAGGGTGAATTTGGTGGGCGTGTCGAGCCTGCAGGGACTGTCCTCTCTGGTTCTGCGCTTACCCGTGAAGTCGCCGACGGAGACGTTTGAGGAGATTGTGGGCATGGTGGGGATTTCTTCTTTGGATGTTGAGCTGACCGACTGCCAAGCGCCTGAAACAATGTACGCTGTCGGGCTCCAGTGCGTGACAGGCATGACGAATTTGCGGGAGCTGAGGGTGACTGCGCAGCTTGCTCTCTTCCCAGACAGGTGAGGCAGACGTGGGGATGCACTTCGCCTCAAGATTTGAGCGGAATTGTCTAGTAGAGATCTGATGCCGGATGGCATGTTTCACCTGACTCAGAATCAACTAGGCAGTCCTGCCTTGATGGTTATGCTATCATATCTCAGGCACACAGTCGGGGACTTCTCGTGCAGTCTTTGCAAAACGATGAGAAGAATAATGGGAATACGCCACAAAAACCTCTGTCACTCAGGTGGCAAGAATACCATTGATTTTCGGTGTCAAACTGCTGTCAGGCACCTCTCCCACTGGTGCAAATTGCTTTGCCTGCTGACATCTACAAAATTTCCAACATTTCAGTCAACCCAATCTGTTGATCCTGCATCAGAAATCCTTGAATGGACACTGAAAATTGTGCTTCAGCCAAGCGCATTTCGTCTGTATTGTGGCGCCTCAATAGCAAGTAACCCAGTATGCTGCTGATGCATCAGCAGGGAAAGAGACACACTTCCAGAACGAAACAATCTATGTTTTTAGGAATAGAGTATGTAATGGAAGACATTTTGGCAGCCTGCCAGCTGGTCCACCCCTTTAAAGCCATGCGATGGAAGTGGTGACAAGATAGCAGGGCAGTATCTGTTGGACATTGTTGGGATCACTTGCCAGAAATACAACAGATGTCTGCTCAAGAACCATGGGACTTGTTCCTGCTATTCTTGCATGCGTGCTGACTTACTGCTGTGGCATCTTCATAGGGGTGTTGATGGACTTGCAACTCTTGAAAAGTTACAGGTTCTGCACATTTACAGCCCTTCACTGCTTGAGGAGGACCTACTTGAGTTTCCAGACATTCAGCATGGGCGAATCATGGATGCAGATGTGCAGCACCTGATGCAACTTCAGCACTTGACATCTCTGGGGCTGAGCAACTCTTTGGTGACAGCAAATGCACTGTCACACGTGGCAGCTCGACTCACATCCCTCAAGAGCATCGACCTTTCGAGCTGCCGGAACGTCAACGATGCAGCTTTGTTTGCACTATCAAGGCTTTGGTCATTGACGGCCCTCAACATAGCTCACTGCATTCAAGTCACAGACAGGGGGCTTGGTGCTCTCGCCAGGTCTGGGTTGCCTTTGAGGGTCTTGGACTTGGCAGGCTGTTACACTTCTGTAACGGACGTGGCTTTGTGCCAGCTCTCAAGACTCAGTGTGCTGGAGTGGCTGTCTGTGGCATACTGTGAACATATCAGCGACATGGGACTGCGGAACTTGGTGTCTGGTACTTCGCTGCTGCGATTCCTGTCTCTCCGCTCCTGCCTCAACATCACAGATTGGGGTGTGGAGGCCATCTGTAGAAACCTGCTGTGCCTCAGAGAACTTGACATTGCATACTGCTGCATGGTGAGCGAAAGGAGCACAGAGGGCCTGAGCGGACTGGAGAATCTCAAGCATGTGAACATTGTTGCAACAGAATTGGCATCCGGCAAATTGCACAGCCTTGATTCGAATGCTGATGTTGTGCTGGACCGCACGGGCTGGTGGATGGATGCATGAAATGCCCTTGGTGCTCGTTCCTGTTTGGGTTGCAGAAGGACGCAGTGCAGGGTGGCATGGAAGGGAAATGGGTTGGTGCGGAGCAGTGAAGGGAAAATGTGTCTCTTGTCATTGATTTATGCCTTCGAGAATTGGCGCTCAGTTGAATCACAACCCAAACTAGGGTTGATTTTGAGGTGCCTTCGTGAGCGCCCAAACGTGGACAGCAGTGGAAACTTTTTCCAATGGTACTGTGTTGAGAGTGGACAGCCATTGATGTGATGGTCTTTTGGCCTCAGAAATAATGTGTGAAATATGATGGGTTGGAGCACAGCTGAGTTTTTCACAGGTGCTTTGTACCATAGTTGTATGCTACTGGAGACCTCACTGTGTTCATTGCGGCAGTTGCTAGGGGTGGGTATTTATGTACATAGAGTGTTGTGCATGTGGTGCTGATTGGCATCTTTTGCCAGTATCGCTGTAATAATCGAATGTGTTGGCTGTGGAGCAAGATGCTCCCCCTTGTGTTTCCCTGGCCTTGCAGGATTCGCAGCTTGCTGCAGTCGCCAGAACCCAGGTTGCTCATCTTCTTCAAGGGGGGCTGCTGCAGCATACTGTGAATCAATGAAGTCAGAGTCGCCATGAGGCCGATAATGGTCTTCATGTCATTGAACACTTGTTGAATGTCCCATGCCAACAGCACAGGACCCTCGGTGGGACCAGTTCCAGAATTCATACTTGAGGCATTGGAGTCTGACAGCCAGCTCTTTCTAGAGAGTTCTGTTGTTCCACAATTGTGAACTGCTGCAGGCCCCAAGGAAATTGGCCAAGCTCTGGGATCCGAATCGACGTCAAGGGCAGCCTGACCTCCCTTGCGATAAACCGCGAATTTGCAGAGGACCGCACTCGCACACGAGGTAGGACATTTCTGATCTTTCGCCAGAATGCGACAAATGCGCTTCGCTCGCCTCCTTGCGAAGGAGGCGCTTCAAGAAAGCGCGTCACGATCAATAAACGCTGCGCGCCGAGGAGGCAAGCACTAAGCCGTCGCCTGCCTAATTCTCCGCCCATTCCTCAGCAGCTGGAAGTTGGTAACGTGCGCCTTCCACCGCTGCCCCACACGGCCATTTCGTCGGCCCCCCGTTGCCATCTCCAGTAGTTCTCCAACAGTCCAACACTTTTGGCCACGCCCCACCTGCTCCCCCCACCCCCGGCCTGCGGCCCCCCCTGGGCCCCGCCGCTGCGACCCCGACCCCCTGCCGTCCTTCCTCAATCCCAGGAGGCTCCCGGCGCGAGGTCCCCCTCCTCCCTTGCTCCGATCGGCCAGCCCCGGGGGGGGGGGCCAACGGGAGAGGCGCGGATGTCGGGGGTGGCAGTGGGCGGTGCGCTGCAGCCGCCTCCTCTCGAGGACGTGCACCGATCCCTCAAGCTGCTCTTTGCCGGCGGTGAGCCGATTGTGAAACTCCCCGCGAAGCTTGTCCGCGGCGCGATTTGCCTGCCTGCCTGCCAGCCGGTCGTCCGCAAATGGATAGCGGGCAACGCGCCAAGAAACGAAGGCCCCGTGGAAACTGTTGCGGATGCACGCCCATCCAGCCTAAAAAGTTGTTGCTTGCTCTCGCGACGACATTTGTGGATTGAATGAGGGGCCCCGGGGTGACCGGTTCGCGGCTTTGCCGACGCAGGGCTGGCAGGGGCGGTGAGCCGCACGGCGACGGCGCCAGTGGACCGGCTGAAGATGCTGCTGCAGGTGCAGGACGTGTCCGGGCCCAGGCCCATGGTGGCGGCCTTCCGGAAGATGGCCTCGGAAGGTGCCTAGCCCCCAGTGTGGATGGCGTGGGCTGCCCGCCGCGCCCAAGCTGAGCTTGTGATAGGGACCGGGGACATGGTGGGAGGGGGGGCGGGGTGGTCGTGGGCGTGCGGTTTGCGCTCGCAGGCGCGCTGCTGGGTGGCATGGTGGCCGCTGCAGCGTGCGCTACGCGGACTAGACTGGTTGAGCAGGGCGGATTGGCGGCACAGCTGGTTTGCTGTGGGATTGCGTTTCTGGGTGTGTCTCTGGGCGCCTCTGTTTGCTGCAGTCTAAGAGGACACTGGCCAGCTTCTGCGGTTTTTGCGGTTTATGGGATTGCGGTATCGCTGCAGCTCCAATGCTCGACAACGACTGGTCCACGGTCACCATTGTGGGCCATCGCGCTTTGTTGTCTGTGAATGGCAGTTGCTCCACTGCCCAACAGTTGTGCAAACATCTGGGGAGTCACTGCCAGGCGTCGATGGAAGTTGGGAAGGGTGTATCTTGTCCCTCTGCAACGATTCTGAGACACCGCTGTTTGTGCCCCAAGGCACCGTGAAGTCATACTTCAGGGGCAATGGCACAAACGTGTTGAAAATTGCTCCAGAGACGGCGATTAAGCTCACAACCAGCGATAGGATCAAGATGTTTATTGCATACGATGTGGACGATATACAGCCACCGGAGCGGTTCATCTCAGGGGCGCTTGCAGGTGCCATAGCTCAGGTGACAGATCCTGCTTGCACATCATCTGCTGTCACCTTTGTTTGGATCGGGACCTAAATCTAATAATCATCAGGCGGACTTGTGGGACTCATTTGTGTCGTGTGCAGTGGAGTTGGGTTGTGTTCGATATCGGGGCAGAACCTGTCCATTGTGGTGTGAACTGATTCCCTGGATAGAATTTGTAACTGGAGAAAATGACAGACGAAACCCACTGCACCTCAGAGAGTATGATGTCCACAAGAATGCCACTGCACGTTCAAATTTTGGTGTCGTCGTTGCAAACCTTTGTTGTTTGTATTGTGCAACGGGTGGTCACAACGCTAGGAGATGACGTGGGCATGTGCGTTGTGAAATTGGGATAATATGCCGGTATGTTGATTGCTAATTGTTTTTGGGTTGTGTCAAGAATGTCATCTGTGGCCCAACTGGGCATGCTGGTACTTGATCATCACCTCTTCCTTTGCTACTTGTCGTTCATGAAAACTCAGCATCAGTTGATCTTACCAATGTCACTTTGTGCTCACAGTTGACGGTCTATCCATTGGAGGTCCTTCGAACACGCCTGGCAGTTTGCCAAGTCGGCACTTACAGTGGGCTAACCCATGCTGCAGCAAGTATGTACTTTCAGGAAGGTTGGAAGAGCTTCTACAGGGGATTGACACCATCCTTGGTGCGTGTGGTGACACCCTGGCTGCTGCATCTCGTTTTGGGTTTCATTTTTCAAACCTTTGTGGGATTGCAGCTCCTCATTTGAGCTCACTAAATTTACATGCAGACGAGAACAAGGTGGTGCACGGATTGCTGGGAGGGAGGGACTTCACCTAGTATCTTCACTTTTGGCTGAATGAACGTCACAGCTGGGCTTTTGTTTGCTATGCAGATCGGAATTGTGCCTTATGCTGGTGTGGACATTGCTGCTTTTGAGATTTTGATGGAAGATCTGACAGAACACTACAATGGAGATCCACCAGCACCCATGATCCTGGGTGCTGGTATGCTGTCAAGTTCATTTGCGCAGTTTGTGTCATATCCCCTGGCACTCGCAAAAACAAGACTACAGGTGGGCATTTGGTGGCCACATGTGGTTCATATTCGTTCTTCAGCGCAGTTGTGTGCCTCAGTAACTCCTCCCATTGATGCACTATGCCATTGAGGTTCCACAAGTGCCACTTGAGCTTGGACCAAGGTCTCTGTCGCCCGAGGGCCGGTTTGGCACAGGTGGCATTCCTGAGCTGTCCTGATGGACACATGATGCTTTCCTATGTTGGGCAGGCTGACGGGACGTGTGGCACGACACCAAAGTACAACGGGCTGCTGGACGTGATATATAAGGCCATAAGGAATGAAGGTTTGAGAGGATTGTACAAGGGCTTGTTGCCGAATATGCTCAAGCTGGCACCTGCAGCGGGAATAAGCTGGTTTGTGTTTGAGAAAACCAAGCAATTTTTTGGCGTTGGTGGGAGCCCATAGTTGCACTCTGATAATGCCTCGCTTTGATGACTCATCACACTTGATGCGACTGGCCCCAAAGCACACGAAGAGGGCCTGTGGACATGCCAAGCCTCGTGTGTTTGGTAAGGACTTGAGAGTCAGATTGACGTTGCCTGCCGAGATTTTGTCTGCTAATGCAATGCCATGGGACAACAATGGGTGCAGGGATGGTGCAAGACTGCCATCCTGTGCTTGGTTCTGTGGCTTGGTGTTGCTGTTTGTTGGTGGAAAGCATCTAGAACTGTTGGTGGTTTCGCAGGTCCTGTGGAAAAGCCAAATAGGAAGAAGCCTGGACCCGATTTTTGCGAAAGGACTGTTGAGGATGTGTATCAGGCAGGCGCCCTGTTGAAGGATTTGCGCTCGCTGGCACTCCAGAGACTTTGGCGGACGAGCTGGGCTCCTTTTTTCACATGCAACAAGCTCCCAAATTTTTTGCGAATTGTTTCATTGGCTGCAATTTGATGGAAACTGGGGACGTCATTGTTTGGTTGTTTGCCGCTTGTAGCACAGCGTTGCCGGCGGCCATGCTGTGCTAATATGCACCTTGTACCGTTGGGACAGTGGATATTTTGCTTGGAGCAGATTGTAAGATTGTAAGAGGGCTTGCTGGGTTGTTGCGTCGCCTCCTGGCAGCTGCCAGGGTAATGCAGTTTTGCTTTTTCCACAAATGTAATTGAAGGAGTCTCTTGCTGGGTGCTGACAAGGTGGCAGCCATGCTCAGTTGGCTGCTGTTTTTTGAGAGCAATAGAGTGATGATAATGGACAACATAGGCCACAAAGCACATTGCCAGAGTGCCGGTGCACTGATTGTAATTAACAAGATGGTGGCCAACAGCTACAACCACAGACATTCCATGTCCAGTTTGCTCCAGTGCCGGACGAGTATCCGGCTTCTGTTTCAGTTGATTGATCCCAGTGTGCAGCATTCCTCCACAGCTGCAGGTTCAAAAGCAGTTGTTTGAGATCCCCTGCAGGCTACCATCAGTACTTCCTTCGCAGCGCTGCTAACGCATATGCTGGAACATCAGCCTGGGATAAAGCTATGTTCATTACCAACTTATTAACTGCCAGCCGAAACGCTTTGGACAGTCGGTATATTACCCACACCACATGAATGTAGGTTCTACTCTCCGCAGAAGGCGATAACCTGCTGCTGTTCCTTCCAAGATCAACTAAAAGAATTGGAGATCTCTTGATGGGATAAAACCACCATTCTGTTAGGAGATACGGTGTTGCTGAAAACGGCTGCAACATTATGATGGGCGGCGTCGGGCCTGCTGGTTTGGGGGCAAGCTCAGACGTGCAGATGTCACGGGTGCGGTCTCTGTCATCTTCACAACAGCGCATGGTCCCTTTGGGCACAAAAGTGCTCGGGCGAGCTTGATGCGTGCAATGTGTCGCTGCTCTTCCTCCCCGCTGAATCGATGACCTGCAGCAGGAATGAGGCTCGTTGCGATGGTGGCCTCCAGAATGTAGCGGTACACGAGGCGCTGAAGCTGATGGGTTGCTCTGTCACATGACAGTGCATGCAGGAGTTACAAAACAGTGTGGGACACCGTTGGCGGCAGCCCGGCAGGGCCCACGGTGGCCAGAATGCATTTTGAGGCACCAGCGTGCTGTGGGAGATCGCAGGTTGTTTTATCTTCCAGTGTCTGATCTGCCATGGGCGTTGGGGAGTACTTTGCCAAGCACTGTGACGTCCTGCAGACAGCCAGAAAGAGCTGATGCTTTCTGGCGAACTCAACTCAGTTGAGGCACGGGCCAATGCTAGTGCGTCGCTTTCACCCTTGCTGCGATGGATACGTTCATTCATTCTTCAAGTGTCCTCGTTGGTGCCATCCCACCTGCTCAATGATTGACGTTCCTTGGGGCTGGTGGACGGGGAGTCCAGATTGCTTGCTGCTTCATCGCATGGCCATTCCCCTCCTATCACATGCGCTGCTGCCTTCCAGCATTCAGCGGGCAGCCACAATTCAGGGCCTTGGCAGTTGGGATTCTGTGGTACATCGACTTGCACAGGGGCCTTGAGATTGCAACGTTTGTGACCTGCAAGAATGGCCCTCAGGAACCTGTTGCGCCAGTGGATGGCATCCTCTTCACTGCACTTCCAGTCTGCTGATAGGAACCGCAGCTCATCCACGACCTCCTTCCAGAGGGCCTTGACGGCGCCTTGTGGCGCATTTGGCGGGGGCTGAAACGATGTGGGAAATGATGTTCAATTCCCAAAGTTAAACTATGTTGATTGCATTGATTGCCATCAGATGCTGAGCAGACAGTGGGCTTTGGCAGCTCCAACGAACACAATCACACTCTGACTCCCTTAAGGCTCTGCTAGGATGCAGGCCGTCCACATTTCTTCTTGTTGGAGGTGGCCCCTCTGAAAGACCGCTGTGACATGTAGAGCCAGCAACAATGATCTGGAGGCAAGGGAAGCCAGCAGGAGCACAACACGGCAGACTTGTCCCACCTGCAGCAGCCATTCCTCTGCTTTGACGAGAGCTGCAGCGCGCAGCTTCTTTCCAACTGTCCCTCCTGCACAGATCGGATTCAAACTTGTAGCATGCATAAAGTTCTCTTCAGGGAATGAGAGAAGAAGCGTTCCAAGGAATGTGTCATCGCTTTCAAAGTGCCAGGTTAGTGTTTGCCCTATCAAGACATTTGCAGTCAAAGAACGTCTATGTGCTGAGGCTGCATGGCCACCTGGATTTGGCCTGTTGGTGCTGCTGGTGGGCAGTGCCTCCAGGTTGGCCATGAACTGCTGCTGTGCTGCCTCCAGCTCCTCAACGTGGAGAAAAGACTTGTTCGACCCAAAGCAATCTGCAAGGGTTCACTCCCGTCCGTCAGCCAAGCGCCTTGCCAATTGCAGGTGTGGGAATGCGCAACTGTTCACATGCACTCTCACTACCCTACTTTGGACATGACAATGAGCTGGTGTTCATTTGGAGGAAAGTAGCACTCTTGTGATAGAACTGTTGCCAGTGCAAAATGGAACTATATGGAATATGGAACAGGTGGCACATGAAAATAGTTCAAAGGGTGGGGGAACATACCTGTTGAAAAGCAAGTTTGTCACCTATACAGATAAGCTCTGCAACGCCCTATTGCACCAGATTCACGTCAACACATCTGGGAATACTCAGTAGGCCGCCTGAAACGCATCGCAGTGGCAGTAGCTGTGTGCCCCTCAGTGGCCCTGTCTGGTAATTTCCACCATTCTCTCCAGGTGCAATAATGCATGGATTGCATAAAGAGCAGTACTCGGCAGCTGTAACTTGCCTGCATCACCAAAATTATCAACCAGCAGTTTGTTGTATTTTTCCATATCTTGGCAAAAGTCTTGGGGCAGTTGAAGTTGCTCTGCGAAAAGCTCCTGAGGAGCCACTTGGGCTAGCTCTTCGGGGTGAGGACATGCTGCTCCACCTGCGTTGCATCTGCAGAGAGAATTTGGTTTACTGCGTTTTCAGTATTCGCTGTGCCCCCCAACTTTCAGTAGAATTTTCGTCAGAATGCAACCTGACAGTAGTGAAATGTATGGTTGCGGGCCATCATGCAATTTTCAGATTGTGTGCCGTTCATGGTCCAACAGGTGACACCCATTCCCTGAACCACAATTTGACAGCTGATAGTGGGCCATCTGCTTGTTGATATTCAAACCTGTTTGGCCTTTTCTTCTCCTGCTGTTTGCTTTCTTTAATCACCCGTGTTGACTGTGTTTGCAAGATTGGTACCTGCATGACAAGTGGCACACAATGGACCCCTGCAGGAAACTGGTGAGGTGTTACCTGTCCAATAGCAAAATCAACCTACTGTGCTGTCTCCATCTGTCAGGCTCATCTGCCTGATACTCTGTGCATGTTGGAGGATCTGCTGGAGTCTGTCGTTCTGATCCTCTAGGCACACAGCAATCGGAATGGGAGGTCAATGAGCCCAAATATGGGCAAATGGAAGCTGGTACAAAGGAAAGCGCCAACCAAGATGCCATGGACGACAGACCTCCACAACAATACCCTGCAGGCTGCAACAAGTCCAACTTGACCATGTGTGCAGCACAACTCAGAGGCTCAGGGACGCACCATCACACTCAAGCATGCCTGTGTCTGATGCTGAATCCACCTTGTTATTTTGCGATCTTCCACCTTGGAGCTTTCCTGCAGCCCTAAATCCACAATGGCAACCACCCAGCCCGTGAGTCTCGATCCAGATTGTAGTCAATGGGCATACGCACGTTCTCAACTGAGGGACAGAATTGAGTGGGCTGAAGATTACAGGAACTGAATCTGAAGATCGCTGGGACACAGCAAGGAAAGAAGTTTTGAAGGTCAGAAAGGGTGGGAGCACACCTTGTTCCCAGCTCCCTGATAATTCCCTGTTGCTCCTGTACAATGTCCTGCAGCTGTTGTGCACTGCGGGATGCCTCGCTGTGCACCTGCAGCATTGGGCCATGTGTTTTAGCAGAATGTGTGATCTCAGTTTCGCGCAAAGTGTTTCTCTACATGCCTAGAATTGAGCGAACAGGCTGGTTGTTGCAGGTCAGCCATCAGTGTGTGGCTGGAATAGGCCAATTAAGGGTCCTCTGCCACCGCCAACTAGCCTGACCTTGGCCAAGAAGTCTATTGTGAGCTGCAGACCGTCCATGAGATCATCAGGTGGGTCGGTCATCCCGTCGAGTTGCTCCCGGCACACATGAGCAGCCCCACGTTGGCGCTCAGGGATGCATGGCAGACCACACGCCCTTGGCGCGCACTCCAGCAAACACGTTTGCGTCAAACCGCGCAGGCTGCACCCGATTCCGCACCAATCCTCCATTAGACGCACCCCTCTGCATTTCTGACGGCCATTTGATCAACGATCGGCGACGAATTGCGCAACCTCGTCCGCCATCTCTCCAGCTCGACTAGCGCACAACAGTTATCGTAGTTTCCTGCCCACCTCAATGCACCCGCTTTGCCGGTGACCCTGAGGCCCAGGGGGACTGAATCGGTCAAACGCGGCGTCGGCAGGACTGCCCACGGCCAATCACCTCGCCCCCTTCCCGCCCGCGCTGGCACCACCTCTCCCCCCGACAGCGCCATGAACAGTTTGGAAGCCACGCGGGTGCTGGCGGTCCTCGACGACGCCCGGGATGGACTCCGGTAAGCTTCAACCGACGGCGACGTCCTCCAGCTCTCCTTGGCTACAGTGGCCCCACCCCACCCCACCGACATCCACGCACAGTGACGCCGCTTGTGTTGGCGATCGCGCCCAGCCTGCTGTCCGGCGTGGGGCACGAGGTGCTCCAGTCGGGAAAGCAGATTAAAGACCTGGTAAACGAAGCGAGGCCCTGAGCTCTGATGAGTCGTAAGCGTCCGGCTCCGGCGTCTTTCCTGCCGCCGCCCTCGCTTCGACGTCCCCGTGAGACGGTCGGGCGCCGCCTGGCGCTGAGGCGGACCGGCGTTGCGTGATGCACTTGTGGATCAGGCGCTCGGGGACGCCATTTTGGCGCACAGGGATGCATTGGCGGACAGGAAGGGCAGGGGCCTCCAGGATGACAACAGGACGACGCTGCAGCTCTGGAGACTGCTCAAGGTAGGCGGCGGGTCAGAGGGGGAGCCCGGTGCATGGCACAGGGGCGATGCACGTTGTTGGTTCGGGGTTGAGTGCCAGGTGCAAATGCGCCCTGCACAAAACCCGTGCTGGCGGAGTATCGCGCGTGGGAGTGAAGGGCCAGATCTGACGTCCGCTGTTTCTGGTACGAAGCAACAACCGGACGCGGAGGCCAAGCTCCGGGGGTTGCAGTCCAAGCAGTCGCCGGCAATGACCCAATTGGTATCTACCTTCGAGAAGGTGAACACAACCAGCAATTTGTGCCTTTGCTGCTGTAGTCGCCGCCCTCTGGTTGTATTAGGCTTGAGCTTGACACGGCACGGCTGCCTTCTGCAGCCCCTTGGCACGACCTCCATCCTTTTGGCTTCCTTATCATGATTTTATGCCATGAAACAAGTTTGAGCGCATAAGATACGGTTTGGCGAGGCAAGTGTTTGACAGCCGCCATCAATGCCGTGTCTGTGTTGCAGTAGCTGCGGGCAGCAATTCAAAAGCAACTAACCACAATGGTCGAGGAGGACATGTCAAAAGAGCAACATTTCCACATTGTGAAGGACAGAGAGGAAAGGGTAAAGAAAATGCCGATGGTGCCATTGTTTGTGCCACCTGGCCAATTGGGGGTGTGCGGCGGTAGCTCGTGGGCTAGATCCGGTCCTTTTTCAGGATGCACACATCTGACAGGCCACGCCGCAGACAACGAGTTCTCGTTCTCCCAAGTATGCCAGGGGACAGCACCGCAACAGATTTGATCTTACCAGCACTCGCAGACCAGTGTTGTACACATTGGCAAGAGCTTCTGCCAGCGTGCCCCTGGTGAAGTTATCCATGTTGCTGTCACAGGCTTTGACCGAGAAGACACAATTGGATCAGAAAATTAAAATGCAGAGGATTGAACGGCAGAAACAATGGTCTGACATCACTGGTGTGGAGGAAAGAACGACAAGCGAACTAGAAACAGATCAGGTAGAGTTGATTCTCTGCTGCAATTTTCGTCCCTTGAACACTCACACATTGGACCGGACATTCATTGAGAGGACATGGAGAGTTTATATACTTGTGAAGTCTACATGATGTTGTGCTTGCTTGTTCGTAACGTTTGGGATACCTGTGGCGATGTCAGAGTGATGCTGATGAGACTAAGCAGTCATTGAAGGCTACTGCAATGGCAACACGCGAAGCTGACGACGTAGAATGTGCCAGCACCAAGGAGCAGCTGATGACGGAGGTATGGAGCAATTCATGATATGTCTTCGTTCCGGAAAAGTGCACTTGACGCCCTTTACCAGATACGGCTGTTCCATCGCTCCCAATTGGCAAGCTTAGCGCAGCAAGGCTGCGTGCTATGGCGTTGCAATAGTATTGCCCAATATGTTAGGCTATTGGAGGAAAGCCATCTTGCCCACATGGGCTGCACCGGACAAAAGGAACTTCCTGAAAGTACACCTGCATTCACGGACGATGTCAAGCTGTCCCACGAGAAGCTATATCGCGATGTGCTGTGGGGACGCGGAAATGGACCCAAACTTAAGTCGGTGACTGTGCAAGAGGTATGCTCACTCATTTGTTGAGAAAAAGGGATGGCGGTGAGGGGAATCGGTAGGTTTTGGCTTGTTTGGCGCTGTGTACATGTTTGGGATTCCCTTCTGTAGCAACATCTTTGCTTGTTCCCTGGGAGCGTGTGCACAAACGAGATGGACAGTGTGCCGTCACACAGTTCTTAAACAGCAGCGTTAGCTATCTTGGTGGTAACCCCGGGCAGCCTCCACAGCTTCCGTGGATGAGATATGCGTAACAACACAAAACCATGGACCAGCCAGATGCGCCCGTACAACAGCTGTGGCACTCACAAATCCACAAATTGGCAACGCAGAAAACTGAGAATCACACTGCTGCAGTTAACAGCGACCCAGGCAGCCCTGGCAAGCATCCACGAAGAGAACAGCGAACTCGAGTCACAGCTGCAAAAGGCAAAGAAGAGAGCCGAGCACGACGTCACTGAACTGATACATGGCTTCGACACGGCCATGGACGACGAGCAAAAGGAGTACCAAAGCACTCTGGCGGTCTACAATGAACTTCAAAAGCATATCATGGTGGCTCGTGACATGGGAGGCTTCGCGTCGTGCGTGGTTGATTCACGAGGCCGCGTGCCAGAATAGAGGGCTAAGTTCAGCTTCACACTTCTTGTTGGAGCATCATACCTCGAAGGTTTCTGGCTCACAGGAATGTTCTGAAGCTACCAAACAGCTTCAGAAGGAGAGACAGGACTACGATGCAGAGCAGAAAAGGATCCTGGACGAGCAGCGTGAGGTAACAAATGGCCAAAACGGACCGACACTTGCGCACTGCTGACTTGCACACTGCTGGTTTCAGTACAAAGTTCCCAGGAGCTTTGCGCACAAACATGTCTTTGCTGTTTCCAAGTTTCCTGCTGGCAGACTTAAACACTCGAGGTCCTTGACGTTGCTAGTGGCCATCCATTACCAAAGTCTTTGCGTGCACTGCATCTGCTCCCCATCCTTGTGTCATATTGCACACTGTCCACGCTGTGCACCATGTCTTAGGCAGGACAACATTCCAGCCGCGCCCAGCTGCTGAACTATGGAAGGACAATTGAACGGAATGCTGCAGTGAAGACACACTTCGGCTGCGGCCAACAGAACACCTGAGGATAGATTTACTCTTTGTGGATAACAGGGAGCGATATTGGCATCCTAGTTCCCGCTGACAAGCGAACGCCAATGCTATATGGGAACACAATCGCACAATGGTCCACAGCACGTCCTGAAGGGAATTGAAGGCAGCGATCACTTCATGGCAATCCTATCTTCAAATAATCTATACCCTGAACAATCTGTTTCATGTAGTGCCTACATGCAGTAAAGTGGAACAATCCATGTATGCAGAGCATGTGAAACTGCCAGAGCTGTGCTGTTTTCAGGTGAAAAGAAGAGAGAGAATAATAACAGCAGCCGCAAAATTGATCCAGAAAGCGCGGAAACTGTACAAGGTACTGCAATGCTGAGACCACTGTGTACATCACGGCATATCTCACACAACTGATGGCTGAGCTCATTCCAAGCCTTGCTTCAAATGCACAACAAGCTCTGGTCTGGCTCACACAGCTCCAGGTCGTGCCTGCCTGTGTCGCTCACATGGGTTCCTTGTGAAACCCTGTTCTCCTTATCTGTACCGTGCCAAGTTGGCCACCCAGTCTCACTCATGGCGATGCACACACACCAGGCAGAGAAGGATGCTGCAAAGAAGAAAGCAACAAAAAGGAAAGGTGGCAAGAAACAGAAAAAGTAGAGGTGCCACAGAGAAGACGCTTGTCACAATTATCAGCAGAAGGCACTTACTGGGGCAGCCGCCACTCTCCGTTTGAATGGAGAGCGTGGCTGCACTAAGTTGCAGGTGCACTCCTGAGAAACAATCCTTTGAAAGTTTCTGGAGACTGACTGCAACTGTGAGCAAGGCCAGTGTCAACGAAGTTGCTGCTCCAGCTAAAGGGCCAACTGGCCCTTGTGTCAGGATTAATTCAATAAGACAGCATTCTAGCCAACCATTAACAATAGCACCCAATGCAGCTGAGCTGGACTGCCAGCCACAGCAGCAATTCTGTAGTGGTGACAATATCTGGGTGCCGATGTTGGAATTCTGGAGAATCCATTGTTGCAATCAATAAAGAGATCTTTGCACACAACATGACATGATGCATCGCACTATGCCAGAAAGAATTGCCTGTGCTACAATCGGTTAACTATGCTGCCACAGTCAACCAAACGTGCCCTCAAGTTATTTCGTGTGGAAAATGCAAGGCTCCTCAACAGCCCCGCCACTCGATGCACACCCCTCGAAGGCCCAATCAACTCTTCCCTCCCGCCATGGCATAGAAACCCGAGCTGCCGGCCATGATGGCCACCGTCACACCCTGCGCGTCACCACAGAACGAGGTGAGTCAACCTCGTCAGCCTGCATTTTGCATCATCAAATTTGCATCATCCTCTGGTGCCCAAGGTCCGCTTCACAGATTCTAATGAGGCGCTGCGATGCAGAGACTCGTCCACCTTTTGAGTGTTGCAGGTGGAATGGCAAGTGGAAAAATGCACGAGCGAAAGAAACGGAGCATTCGTGCGTTTTCGATGTGTACATTCCCTCCAACGGCTGGTGCAACGGGTCGAAACACATTTTCGAAGACGAATTCTCACGGAAACACGTGGAAATTAGCTCCACCATAGGGCCCAACAAAGAATACGGCGTCCGCAGGGGCCAGGACGAGACGAATCTTTGGCGGACCCGGCAGACCCGCACCGGGTCGGACCGGAGCCCCCTCGCCCAGCCCTGGCCGCGCAGCCCCTCCTCACCTGTGCCACTACTCTCGCTCTCATCATGTTCTGGGACAGGTTCTTGTTCCCCTGAACAGAGTATCCCCACAAGTATCGATGAGAAGCACGGCCCACAACTGCAAAAACGGTTTAGCTGGCAGCGACCTTCAGCCAGAACGCGATGCTCAGGAGCCCGCCACAGCCAAGCTGCCCAACTCGCCTGCTTGAACGCCAGCAGTCCACCCAGCAAAACGCCCGCCGTTGCCAGCGCTCCTGCAATGAAATCCAACCGCACGGGTAGGTGAAATTTTTGTCGACGCTCATGTCGTGAGAGCCCCCGCAAGCTTCGCAACTATTGCTGCGCACCAACGAGCACCAGAGGGTTGCGTTTTCTCACGGGCTCGGGGTAGGTTGTTCCTGGGTCGGTGTAGGGGTTCATGGCTGCGGGAGCGGGTCCTTGGCCCCTCCAACGCAGGCGCGGGGATTGTGGAGGAACCACGCGTGGTCAAAATATGGTGGAGAGTGCATTTGACGCTGGATATGTCTGCGACTTGGGAAAATCGTGTGGCTCACCTAATGTAGACGGCATGTGGAATCCAAAGCAGTGAAGAAAATGTAGATATAAATCAGGTCAAGGACCAAAGGCAATGCTTGGTGAGGCAAGCTTCATTTGCCCATTGGAACCATATTGAAGAACGGCCTTAGGGTTTTAACACCTGCCAAGCCCAGAGAACACGAGGATCGGCGATCACTCTACCCCCAAGAACGCTTCAGCAATATTGTTCAGGAACAGTTGATGCACGATCAGGTCGGGCAACGACGCCAGAGGTAGGCGCGGTTTCTCCATTGGTTTCATTTCGGAGCTTGATTTGAAGAGGGCGCTTAAGAATGTAGCAACCTGGACATTCTCCTTGCCCAAAATCACCTATCGGGTGCAAGTCCAGTGCGAATGTGATCGAAACACGCGTAACTTGCTTTCGTGCTTTTGCTAAGCCATCTGAGGGGCAACAATTCTTAGCTGCCCACTTTGAAACAATTGGCCATTCCCTGGCGTCGTAGAGTTCGTCCCTCCGAGCCTGTGCCAACCCAATCTCAATTGCAGTTTCATGGGCACTCGTCCCCATATTTGTTGCTGACACAAGATCACAGAACACACCTCGCGTACAGTGTCCAATTGTGGTTCTGCTGTCGGTGCTGTAGCAACTTCGCCGCAGGCGGCTTGTGCTAATAAGTACAGGGCACGCCAGCCAGTGTGACAATGCGGGGGATTGCTACTGACTCAGCGACTTGGTGTGGGACGCGGGGGGCACGCAAGATAGCAACCCCCACATTCCTGGCGTCAGCCCTGATGCTCAACGCGGGGGGTGGCGCTATCCTCTGTGATCTACGGTACCCCTGCAACATTACAACTGCGCCCCCAGCGCATCCCGCACGCTTTGGGAGGTCGGGCCTCAAGTTCACCAAGTTGTTCCAAATCCCCCCTTGTTCTCATCGTCCATCACAAGTCGGAGCAGTTTTATACAGCCGCAACGCCGCTGACATCCAGCCAATAAAAATACGGCAATCCCCTGGCACCCCTCGCGGTGTACCCTGCTCATCAACTCGCTGCAGAGAGGTGTAATGGCCACCTTGCAAGCAAGCAATACAGTCCTCCCTATCCCCAAGCACATACTGTTTCCAACCTGCGGCTGCTTTCAGTTCTACTAAGCTAATTTCACCAGTTCCACCACAGCTGCCAGTTACATCCTGCAGTTGTGGCCGTTTGTGTACATTATTGATACACCACACTACCGTCTACAATATAGTCTACACGCCTTCTAGATGCCAAGTTTCGAGCGGTGGTGGATCGCTGACGATTCTCCTGTGCGTTGCATCCGACTCCTCCAAGTCCGCAGCTCCAACTGCTGCCACTTGCCACATTGCGGTGTTCGACCTGTCGGATGAACCCTCCTGGGTTTCCCAGTATTTGCCCCCTGAGGGAGGAACCCTTGCGCCATGGCCGTTCTTCTCGGTGCCATTCGCAGGGCGAGCTGCACTGGTCTGCGGATTTGTGCGCATTGGTCGTGATGGCGGATCTGCGGCACAGTTTGTGTGTCAGTTTGGTCCAAGAGCAACACAAGGGTCCATTTTCGTTGATGATGCAGTGACCAATAATCAAGGAATGTAATCAAGGAGCAGAAATGGGGAATACACACAAATATTCCTGCCCACTGTGAGCACACGTTGCCGTACAGAAACGCCCTGTACTGTTTGAGGCAGTGCATGCATCGCCAAAGCCTACACAAATATAGCAGAATAACATGGACCATGGCCCAGGCATCCTCTCTGAATTCCAAACCCTAAATTGATCACACAACCTCTTGTGTTCACTTTGCCATGTGTGGATGACACAGTGCACATCACTTCATTCTGGTACAATGGTTGTGGGTAGTTGGCAGTGGGCTGGAGGTTGGGGAAGCACCCCCCATGCACCCAGCAGTGGGTGGGTTGTTGGTGGTGGTGTGTGTGTGGGGGTGAGAGCACTCGTATCGTATCCCCTGGTTTTCGCAACAATTGTGCACTTGCCTGGGCCAACATCTCTTGTTGTGCCCTCCTGCAGCCTTCCTCCAGAAGGGCCGCGCTGGGGGCTGGTGCCCACAGCACCCCGACGGCCAGCATGTCCCTCATCAGATGCCGAAGGAAACTCTGTCCAAGGGCGTGGCTCCACATACTGGTCCAAAGACACAGGCGCAGTCATCAGTGCAGCATTCTTGGCAGCCCTCTTGGAAGTCTGTGCAGGGCGTGCTTGCACCTGCACAACACACAGTCTTCAACCCTGCGCATCGATTGCAGCAGGGCAGGGCACCACCAGTGACAAAAGGGGCATGCTCTCTGCAGGGGCAGAAACATGTCTGCTGAAAACGTGATATGCTGGCATTGAGGTGCCCACAGAAACTAAACGGCAATGAAGGCGTGGCTGAAGATGATGGTGTGAAAGGTGATTTGACTCCCAGAGAGTTCTCTGTCAGTGTTGTCAAATGTGCAGGGGGGCAAATGAAACGCATTGCAGAGTACACTTGTCATTATGATGCATGCTTCTGAAAACTCTAACGTACAGCCCAGTCCCATAATATCCATCCCCCAGGTGCTAAGTGTACATGTCCTTGAAGGCTTCCAAAGTTCAAAATGCAAAGGCACACAGATGCACATGTGGGCATAAACTTTGACAGATGCAGCAAACGTAACACACCAGTAAATGGTACACTTGCGTCACACAACATCCCCTTGGGAACAGCGCCTGTGCATACAATGGCCTACCTCCAATGCATACTTCGCAGTGACCTGCTCAAACTGAGCTTGTTGCCTCTGGTTCTGCTGCTGCAGGTCCTGAATTGTCTGTTGCTGTGATGCAATCACATTCTGCAATTGTTTCACTTGACCCTGCAGTGCCTTGTTTTCTCTCTCAAGCTCTCTTGCCCGCAATCTAAACAACAAAACCACTGTTCAAAATACTATCAGCGACATATCAGTTCATGTCAGACAGTGTCCTCTTCATTCGAGGCGGAAAATGATAGTGCCGTTGACTAGAAACCATGAAACAGTGCTGTGTGTGTGCTGTGCTACAGCTAGCGTGAGATTGCAACGCTTACGTCAACATACAAGACAACACTACAGAGTATCCACATCAGAACAACTGCAATACTGGAGCAGATTTCCCAATATAATGGATATGCGACAAGCTAACTGGTGGGCTTCCCATCCCCCACGAATATGTCTGGACCAGCCGAGAGTTGTCCACAACCATCAACAACCCTTTGTACTGCAGTGGGACCTTGGACATCAACGCAACAGCCTGCTTGCAAACACAGCAGCGTAGATGTACCCCTATCCAACTGTGCCTAGATCTGGTGCCAATACGATGTAACTTGGCTTCTTTGGAGATTCCCAAAATGACAGCATGTGCTGCATAATGTCACTGGGTGATGTCCACACACCAACCCAAGATGCTGTTGCATACATCCAGAAAGTCATCATTCCTGGAATACCTTGGCACATGGCATGAAGTGGGGTAATGGAGACATCCATGCCATCCACAATCATCTGTTCATCTTTTCTGCTGAAACAAGCAACACCCAGCTATTTGAGAACAGCACAGCCTAACACTCGCCAACAATAACCGCACCTGTGAGATTCCATAGCCTGGCTTCCCCTGTCTGGTGCCTGGTAGGATTCTCGTTGCCTTTCTTCTGCTGAACGCCTGCCCACATTGGCCCTGGCCACCACTTCCCTCTCTGCACATATTCACAATTGCAGCCATTAGCACATGCCATCCGACCAGCGGGCAAGCAGCAAGCCACGCTGTGCTGTGACACGCACAGAAGCATGTAAGTCCGCTGCAGAAGCAGCATAGAGTGCCTGAAATGCTCCAAGGGATAACACAAAGGCTGCCGGTCCCAGGGGGCCTGAACACTTTTCCACATCAACACAGAAAGGCACGTGTCTTACTTTCCCAACCCTCAATTAGAAGGATGCTGAATGCACTAAAGAGACAACAGAGCACCAACACTAACTGGTCATATGAGCACTTCCTGCATGTGTAGTGCAAATCCACACATTTTGTACACTGCATGATTGCTCACGTGCATCACCCCTGAGCTGTGCACTCCCAGATAATTAGACATGTTTCAAGCTTAGGGATTAGAAGAGGAGTTTTGGGGCAATGCACTGCTGGTGTGCACAGTGCCCTCCACTGCTGTGCTCATGCTCGGGCGTCCATGCCAACCGTGACATATGCGGAAAAAGGAAAAACTCTTGACCACCAGAGCAGGTCAGACCAGGGCAGTGCCGTGACAGATACATAAGGATAAAACGCATCTTTGCCAAACAAACCTGCCATTCTCTCCTCCGAACTAGGCGATGCCGATGGCGAACTTGCTCTTTGGGGCATGCTCTGTGGATCCACACGGTGGCCATGTGGGCTGTCAAAGTCTGCCCATCCTGGGGAGCGTGGAGGATCGGCTGGTCGCGACACGCCAGGTGGTGCATGTGACCCCTGCTGCTGAGGCATTTTATATTCACATGAGTTGTCATGCGAGACCCTCCAACTGGTCGTGCCTTGCAGCTGTGGTGTTGACTTCTGCCGGCTCATTGTGTCACCCGGATCTGGAGTGGGAATGGTGCCGCCGGTTGCAAATGGGTTGCCTGACTGGGGTGTGGAAGCCTGCCGACTCATGTTTGCAGCTCTTTCAAAGCCAGTGTGGGCAGTACGTCCTGCAAGGTGCTCTGGCCTCCCATTGAGCTGATCCCAGTTTGGATGTTGGGCTGCTGGCAGACGCCCTGGACCTGTTGCACTGCCTGGCCTTGCAGGTGGCGCAGGGGCGACATCGGCTGCCATAGAGATGGGGTTGGACGTGAAGGAGGCATTATGTGGATCAGCCAAAGTGGGGTCGCCAGCAGCATTGTGGACATAGTGCTGCAGGGCTGACACCCGCTGGAGCACAGTGTGGATGTCTGGCCTGTGGTCAGGATCAACACAGAGCAGATCTTGTATGAGGGACTGTATGGGCGCTGGCCTCGTGGCAGGCATCTGGTAGTTTCCATTCAGAATCTGCAGCTTCGAGTCTCCATTGAATGGAAGCTTCCCATAACAGAGAAAGAACAGCACACATCCCAGCGCCTGCAGCAAGCAGCACAGAAGCTGCAACCTCCAATACATGCTGTGAAACAGGCCTCTGCTGGTACACAATTGTTGCACACAGGGCAGCAGTGACAATAGTTCCTGCACAAACAATGTCACAGCCATCTGCACTTCTTGACAGTGTTCAGCAAATGGCGATGCAGCCATCAACCTGTAAAATGGTGTTCGACCTCAGCTTGATCTGGAAACATATCAATTGAAGAAGCTCACCCAAATGTCGACTCTTGTGTCGATTCGCTTGGCTTGGTAGAGGTCCCACATCTGCACCAAGCACAAACAATGCTGCCAGTCTAGATCCATGTCGGAAGTGGTGAACAAGGCAACGTGCTTGTGCGCATGTCTGGGACCTTGTCCAACACCCAAAATGTGCGCGAAAACCAAGCTCAACGGCCGCAACTGCGAATGCCATGCCAGAGTCTTCCCAGCAGGGCCTCTCGCCACCGCGATTCCCACCCCCCAGAAACAGCTTTGCCTCCTCTGCCGCGTTCAGAGGCCAAATTCCGCTCAAGAGGCGCCACCAACCCCCGAGACAGCGCACATCGACACCCGCCGCTATTTCCGCCGGCTCCAATCGGGAGCCGACCGCGCGGCAGCAGATCGCCGCGGCCATGGTGCCCACCTCGGGCGCGCGGTAGGCGGGCGTGGTGTGCCGCCTGATGTTCTCCTCCTCCTCCCCGATCTCGGCGGGCGTCTCATAGGCCTGCTCCCTGCTGGTGGAGCTCCCGAAGTCGCAGAGCACCCACTCCTTGTTGGGCCGCCGCAGCACGTTCTCCACCTTTACGTCCCTTTGGTCCCACACCACACACCGCGTCTCAGCCCCAAGGCCCGGGGGATCCGATCCAGCCCCTTGGGCGGGCCAGCCCCGGCCCGATCACACCCCGATCAATAGCCGATCACCCACCTGTGGGTCAGCGGTGGCTCCAGCGAGTGCATCTCCGCCACCGCGTTGCACACCGCCCAGAAGATCTCCAGCAGCTGGCCATCCGACACCTTGAACTCCTTGCGCTGCAGATACCTGAACAGGTTGTCCGGGCACAGGTCCAGCAGCATGTAGGCGTCCGTCTCGGCGCCCACCTCCCCCCCGAAGGCCACCGAAATCAGCCTCAGGATGTTGGGCCGCCCCTTGAGCCTGTTCATCACCTTGGCCTCGCGCCGCACCAAGTCCACGGTCTCCTTGCCACCCAGCCGCAGGTGCTTGAGCGCGAACATCTCCCCGCTGGTCACCTCCTTGACCCGGTATATGCTCGCGAACCCCCCCTCGCCCAGGTGTGCCTCCACCTTGAGCCGGTGCTGTCCCACCTGGACCACCTTGCCCACCAGCGGCGCCACCATGCCGTCCCGCATGCTCTTGGTGCCCCAACCCTTGCCGAAAATCTTCTTCATTCTCCCTGTATTCCTCTTTTCCTTCTGCTGGGCGCGACGATTGGCGCCCCTTGGGCAGGGCGCCTGAAATGGGGTGCGGCCGCTTGGGGCCCGAGGAGGCCCTGCCTCGTGGCGGCGGCCACGGCGTGTGCCGCGGGCGGCAGGAGGACTCAAAAGGGGGCCGCAGGCCGACGGCCGAGGTTGTGGGGCAGCGGTGGCGAAGGACGCGCCGAGTGAACAGGGGCGTGATGTCAGGGAGGTGGACCGGGGGAGGTGTACGGCGATCCTGGCCCCAGGTCACGGCGGCCTTTTGACCCGGGGAAACTTCACCTGTTCGCCTCGTGTGAGGCGACAACGCTGCCATTCATGGTAGTGCTTTTCTCGTCGGGTTGGGGGCCTCCATGCAACCCTTCCCTCTCCAACCTCGCTCGCCCGCATGGAGGAGGGGGCCTTTGGGACGGATTTTGATTGCCGCAGGTGGGCACGCAGGAGGGTCCGAGCACAGTTGGCAAAACGGCAGCAGCGAGTGGCAAGAGCAACAAGCGAGAAGACACACTGCAGGTTTGCTGGCGAACTTCGTATGTTCAGATCCTTCCCGGCATTTGAGCGACACGCGCAAACCCGTGTGCGTTGAAGCATCAAGGCTGACATGGATTTGCAATTTGGGTGATGACAGGAAATGCACATGGTGCAGGGCAGCGATGCATACCCTCCAGCTTGAGGTGCAGAAAACAGACCACCTCGTAGTGAAGGAACACGCATGTGTTACACCAATTCGGCACATGTCACCAATATATACATACAGAAGATGATCCATCTACAGAGGGAACGTCGCTCCAGCAGAACGTACAGAGCACAATGAAATCTAAAAAATTCCACATACAAAACCTTGAAAGAAAAAGCTGTGAAAAATGAATGTACAAGCCTTCGAAAGTTGGCAGGTCATGTCGTTCCTGATGTATCTAAAACCATCAAAAGTTCATAGCTCACCATTGTCGGTTGTGCCCCAAACATGGAGAACGTCCTGCACAACTCACTTGCCTAATTAAATAGTGTGTATCACCAACAACAATCGCCAACACTGCCACGACCTGCCAAAGGACACTCGACCGTCGTTCACCTCCTCAACGGTTATGAAACCTAAGGAAACCAGAATCATCGACTGTACAGCTGTGTTGTCCACCTCACAGATGAGCCATCAATACCAGCTCATCTGCGCCAAAATTGGTATGCGCCACTCCCCATAAATGCCTGCCACAACTAGTCGATCACAAGATGGCATCCCCAAGCGCAGCTGTCATTCGGCCATGCCCATTGCTGCCACTGCTGATCACCGACCCCACCGGGCACTGGCCCCACCTCAATGCGCTGTGCTTGGGCCCCCTGCATCATCATCTGGGCCATCTTTTGAGTCACTCTGAAGGCCTGCCAACCTCTCGTACAACTTACTAGCATCTTGCACAGATTGATGTATGAGCTCTGTTATCTCCTCTGATGAGTGGCTCAAGATCTCAGGGACACTATCAGGGGAGAATGGGCGATCGTCAGCTGCTTGCCTTGTATCTGCTGGTTCGTCCCCGCTGACTGATGCCACACTAAGGTACTCAGTGGCAGAGCTCAGCAGGCCCGGTGAGCGCGAGCGCACGCCAAGTAGACTGCCACTCTCTGCTGGATGAGACACAAGGTCACTGGAAGGGCGGGGACAATCGACGCCAACTGCTGCTCCTCCTGTCCCATTCTCATCGCGTCCTTCTCCCTTGGTCAGTGCAACATCAGGATCCGGGCTGTTGCTTGGGACTGGATTCTCCACAGCACTTTGTGAGCCTGCACACACAGACTCTTCTGCTTGTGGCGTAGCTGTTGCCAGTGGGAGAGGTGGGTAGGAAAGTGGACAAGGGAGAGCGCAAGTACCTGAGGTAGATGGTGCACCCTCAGGATGTTGGCCATCAGCACCATCAGCACCTTCAGGATGTCGACCTTCACCTTCATTTCTTTCATGGGAGCTGGGCTCCGAAACTATGCTCACATGTAACTGCACGACAGTATGGCACCCTTCCTCCTGCTGCGAGCCTGCAGGGGAGCACAACAACAATTGGTCCATGGCAAGGAGCGGCAGCTGCTGAATGTGCACTTGAGCACACAAGGGACAGGACTACTCTCTTTGCTGGAGGCAAGTGGGCCTCTGCTTGTGGCACATGCCTGGCAACTTAATCCTAGAGGTTGCAAGGAGAGGTGAGTCGATCAAGTCAGTATGGCAGCAGCATCACCAGGTGGCATATTGCAGTCCAACGCCATTTGCCACAGGAGGTCTGTCAAGGGAACACTGGGGGAGTCTGTCAAGGGAACGCTTGGATAATGGGCGAATCTTCACTGGTTTGAGGTGACCAATCGTGCACAGGTTCCCTTGGCAGTGTACAAGGCTGAAATTCAGCAGCCTTGCAATACCAATGCACCTTATGTCCAATACGACAGCACGACTTCCATACAGGTGGCAAGATCTACTGCCAAACAACAGCTGGGTGGGTATGAGCCACACCACACACACACCTGATATATCTGCAACACGTTCTTCTAGTTGCCTGATTCTGTCTTCATACACAAGGTTCTGTTTCCTTAAAGCTGCTACCTTGCCCTCCAATTTGCAATTGACAGCCTCCCAAGCCTTCAAAGCCTCTTTCAGTTTTGAAACAACGTTCTGTTCAATCTTCTCTTTTGCTGCCCATTCCACCTCCCCACTTGGATATGTCTTCATTGTTTCTTCTGCCTCCTTCATATTCTGGTATGCAATTTGTGCTGCATAGTGTGCCCTCAGCTTACTATTTTGCATTTCTAGCCTCTGGATGTGACTGGTCTCAGCAGAAAACGCATCCTGAACTTCAGAGCCTGCGTGCTCAGATGAGCCAGCGTCTTCTAATACTGGCTCATCGGATTGCGATGGCATTAGACTACAATACACCTGCTGCTCCGTGCTGTCTGCATCGGTGCAAAGACTGTTGAGGTCCTCAACAGATATGGCCAGCAACGAGCCCTCTTCAGGGGGGACACTCATTTGGCAATGTGATGGCTGCACAAAGAGGCCCATTTTCACCAACATTTCTGAGGGCAAGTAGCCCTCAACATGGCGTTGAAATTTCTCCCGCTTCTGGACTTCCTTAAGCCTAACCTTGCCCATGTGCTCCGCAAGCCTGGACACCTGCCCACAGTAAACCTGAGACCATGCCCTGCGCCGGACACACTCGGCGAGGCTTGCCCTGTAAGCTGCCGGGATGCGGTGCACCACCATGAGCTCCGCGAACGCCTCGTCCTGTTTCGTGGCGACCTCCTTGAACGCCGCCAGTTTATTCTTCATCTCCAATATCCTGCTCTGCTGGGTGGAGATCGACTGAAGCTGGCTCGCGACATCCCGTGTCATTCGGTTCTTGCAGCCGGTGCAGTCCCTGCAAAAGGCGGCCAGGCTGGAATTGCAGTCCCTCAGGCGGGGCACCAGCTGCTGCATGTGGCTCTGGTTCATGCTCTCCATCGCCCCGCATGCGTCATGAGCCGTGGTGGTGGCCAGCCTCTCCGTGCCCAACAGCTGCACCGTGTCCTCCACCAGGGCGCGCACGGTGCGCATGTCCTTGGACAGGACCTGTATGATCGACCCCTCCTCCTCCAGCAGCTGCTCCCTGTCCTGCAGCAGCGCCCCCAGGTCGTCCAGGTCCACCGTGGGAGCCTGCATGAACAGCGACTCGACGTCCGACTTCAGGGAAGCGAACAGGCCCTCCAGGTCCGCCACCTTGTCCGCGAAGCGTGCGTGCGCGCGGCCACAGCCGGCCGCCCACTCCCGCAGCTGCTTCTGGGGTACCAGGTCGCACAGCCTGCGCCACTTGTCCGTCCGTAGGTCCTGGTGGATCGCCGTGCTGCTCAGCTGCTCCACGTCCCTGTCCACCGTCGCCAGCGCCTCCGAGTGCCGGGCGTGCTGCTCCCTGTACTCAGCCATGAACTCCGTGAACGCCCGGCTGATGGCGTTGAAGTGCGTCTGCACGTTGGCCCGCGCGGCGTCGATCGCCCGCGACTGCACCTCCTGCTCGGACAGCAGCTGGTGGCAGCGCTGCACGTACTTCTGGCTGACGTCCCAGTGCTCCTGCGCCAGCAGCAGGTGGTGCTGGAAGGCCAGCTCGTAGTCCGGCAGCGCGCGCACCAGCGGGCTGGGCGATCCGCGCAGCGGGTGTTCCACGCTGATGCCGCCCATTGGCGGCACCTTCACCTCGACCTCCTCGAAGCCCTCGGGCGCCAGGGGGACCGCGCCCGGCCGCACGAACGCCTTGCTGTACAGGAACACCGGGTTGTCCTCCGCCGAGGCGTCATCCTCCGCTGGCAGGCGATACACGGACAGCGGCTTCCTGGGGTCCAGCCTCAGGCCGCGGCACATAACAATCTGCTCGCCCACGGGGATGCCGGCCAGCTCCTCCAGCACCTCCTGGACGGCGTCCACGCGCGTGGCGGGCTGGACGGATCCCAGCTGAAGGGTGCGGCCGTTGTGCGCCACCAGCACCAGCACCACGCTGCCGCCCGGCATCGCCCCGCAACCCAAGGGATGCAGTTGCTGAATGCCGTCCAAGGAAGGAAGCCCTGATTCCGGGACCGACTGAAGCTGTCTACCGTCACCTTCTCCTCGGGTTCAATTTTCCCAATTCCAGAGCTCTGGAAAGGATCCCTACACCTTAGAGCGCCGGCGCGCCGTCGAGTCCAGCGATCCCCTGGATGGCGCGTGCGAAGGTGGGGCGCTGCCAGCAACGCGGCTGGGCGGCGCTACGGCAGCCGCTGGGGCTCCTGGCAACAGGGCAGCGTCGGGCGCGCCCGGCGGCCGCCGACCATGCCACCGCCCCGTTCCCGGCGCTCCGGAGTCACAGCTGCCCGCGCGGGGAAGGAGCCAGGCGGGGCAGGGGGGAAGACATCTGACCACAGCCAGCAGGCGGGTTGCCAAAGTAGGGCCGGCTTCCGACACACCAGCTTCCCGTACTTTGCCGCGGGTGCGCCGCATGTCGGGCCTTGGCCGTCCCGTGGGCAGTGGGGCCGACGCTCACATTCTTGGCACCTTCGGTCCTGAAACGCCAACTGGTGCGTGGGCAATAACTTTCGAGCTCGCATTTTGTTTGATGATATTGAATCCAGTGTCGACTATTTTTGTACCACAATACGGCGTGTTTTGCACCAAGTGACGGGCTTGTTATGCATCCATTCTTGCGTTTACGTTTTTACGCGTAAAAACGCGTAAATAGAGAAAGGGCCAATTTTACGGCCATTTTACTCGTATTTACGGCTCGTCAACACGCCCAGATTACATGATGATGTCCCCATCAAAGATCAATCTGCCACACTCTCCAGTACCGGCAACATGGTGCACACCTCAGCAAGGGCAACGACGTTGCTGAGCAAAAGATCATTTTATGCGTACTTCACCGCCTCCAGCTGCCACTCCCCGGACTCCCTGAGTCTGCATGTACTGTCTTTACGTACATAGGGCTATTTTTTTTTATTTTTTATGGCTATTTGCATGTGAAAAATTAATAACCATTTTAACTTTGTTCAGGTCGCCAATAAATGGAACTCATCAAAAAATTAGTAAGTAAAGGATATCACTCAGTTGGCGACCCGTGAGATCTAGAAATGATGCAAAGGGTATGTCGACAACCTCAGCACCTTCGTCACACTGATTGTCATCCAGCAGGTTGGCGCTCAATGAGGCAGAAACCCCAAAACATCAACCAGGGGTGCTCCAGAAATTTCCAGTAAACCAAGCCCAAGCCACTCAGAATGCAAGGAGGTGACTTCAGTGACAAAGAGAGATCACGGCGGCCTCACCACATGCCCAAAGAACCCAAAGCAATGCAGTTGTGATGCCGGACACAGCTCCAGTACGTGGCAGCACGTCGCCGGCACACCGGTGTCAGGCACGTTTTGAAAACACCGTGAAGTACTGAGAAGTACCCAGATCGCTGTTGGGCATGTGCATTTTTTTTGGCAAGGGGTACATCCATGCGTGACCAGGCGCATTGGACGCAGAAAGGCTTGGCGAGTCGGGTTGTGTCGGTTTTGCTGAGCAGTGCCTGTTGATTGAGCAGGGACAGCCGTGGCTGGCCATGGTGCTGCCGATGGGGGATGGCAGACACACGACCGAATCACCGATTGAGATGGGAGGTCTGGCGAACGGGCAGGCCTTTCCCCCTGCGTTGTCGGCTGTGTGGCGGAGCGCCGTGAGTTCGAGCGAGCGCGGCCCCCGTGGATGCGCAGAACGGGAGGTCACAGAGCTGATGCGAGAGGCATGCAAATGCACTGCGGTTGTATTTGTCATCCTGGCATGATACTGGAGAATTCTGGCGTCCTGTGGTATTCAAGCTGCTCAGAAGTGTGCCCCTAGCTCAGAGTAAGATGGGTTGTGACGGAAGGCTGGGTGCCATCAGTCTGAAAAATGGACTTGCAAAAGTTGATCGAATCTGGATTTGAAAGGATCAATCAGTTTCAAGCCAAATTGCTATCCCAAGTTACGTAGAGGTGTTCTAAAGCAATCATTTGCAAAAGAGTTCACCTCAAACGGATCCTTACTGAGCAAGATATGGCATTTTATGTGCGATGGTGCCGTTTTGGATGGAGGGGGGTTGCCCCCTGTGCGACCTGCCACAGGGCGCTGTGAGAAGGGGCCACGAGGGGGGCACAGAGGCGGCCTCTGAGAGGCCCCACGTAGCTTTTTATGGGAATATGGCGCTGTGGGGCATTACGTGGCCAGGAAGTGGGGCGCACCGGTGTGATTTGTGGTGATGCGGCAGTGTGGCGGAAAGATGCCGCGGAATCAAAGGATGTTGTTTCATATGGGGGGGCATTTCAAATTCGGGCGAGGTTACAAGTACTAGGGGCTTGGGCGGGACTCTCCATAATTGCACCCGGCATGGCAGCTGTAACAACGGTTACGTGGGGCTCGTATGTTTCCGCCTTGTCGGGCTCCTTGTCCCACCCAGGTCCACATACACACTGGACCAATACAATACAAGATTTTCACCGTTTGTCCCAAACATCCCGAAGTACCCACAACTCGTGTGCCCAGTCGCTTTTCTAGTAGCTAAGCCAGTACCATACATGACTCAACCCTGAGTCAGTCCCCCTACACCTTACTACCTTCGCACTTAACTCCCTTACCATCCCCTAGTAACCGAGCTTCACCCTAATAGGGAGGGCCCGGGCAGGAAGCAAAACAAGATAGAGTGGGGACCGAGGGGCGATCCCAAATAGCCTCCCCCGCTTGCCCACCAAAGCCCGTCACCTCCAAGGGCGCCAAAACTACTGGCCCTCCTTGAACGCATCGAACTGGCCACTGACCCAAGGTACACCCAAAACAAACAATGCATAAGCAGCGCCGGCCCAACGGAAGCCAACGTGCCCGCCCCACGTCGCCCTTAGCGGAAAACCATTAACAAGATAGTTAATACCATGTCTCGCGCAATGGTCTAGGCGCTCGGCCTGGCTGCCTGATCCCCCTGGCCGTGCGCGCAACGTTCGCCATGGCCTGAGCAATAGCAATAGCAACTGGCAATAGCGTTCGACCTTTTGGAAGGTTGCGGCCAGTCTGAGCCGCGTTTTCAAGGCGTTTCCTTGCCGTTCGAGACCAGCACCTCCAGTGTGGTCTAGCTGCCAACAAGAACTCGCCAAGCCTCGTCTCTGCACAGCCTTGTCGAGGCGGAGAGAAACGTTTCCCGTGTCGTACACTGACGCCCTGTAGACAAGGCAGCCCTGACCCGTGGACCTGACTTCCGTTTTGACTTCGTCGACCGTTGAGGAGCAGTTGAGACCGGTTGAGGCGTTCTGAGCGGCAGCTGTGAGAGTTCCCTCAAGCACATTTGCATGGTTGGCTAGCAGTGGGGTGTTTGCCACCCGTTTCAAGCTTCCCCTTGCTGTCGCCGCTTTTTTGTTGGACGTCGTCGTCGTGACAAGCAGTTCTTCGTGAAGCGCCAGTCCGTGAGAGGGGCGAAAGTCTGGTCGTTCAGTGAATCCTCAACTGACGTGGTGCTGAGGCAGTCGACATGGCTCAGCTGCCCTTTTGAGGGAGATTTTACTGCGCTATCTACGGGGATGACGGCCAAAATGGACTGCCGCCCTTTGCAATGCATAAATAGCTGTAAGTAACCGTAAGTTTTTACGCCGTAGACACCAAGCCAGCCAAGTGATTGGAATACGGTATAATTGAGACCTGGGACCCGTGGCCCTATCCAACAACAATTGGCCAATTCCCTTGCCCGAAAAATGTGATGAAAACATGCGCAAGGAAAAAGGCACTATACATGGATGCGTTAGATACAAATATGAGTCATTTAGTCTAAACTCGCACGCAGACCAGTGCGATAGGGTGTTTTTGGCATGTGCGTTTCTCTGATCATCCATCTTTGCAAAATGCTTGTATTCAGTGACATACTGCAGGACATGTTCGAATACATCGATCGGTAAAATTATATGTTTGTCGAGCAAATTTTTGTAGTCTGGACCACACAGACCTTAACGGTGGTAGCCGTGCAGGGCACAATATTCCAAACTGGTGGGGGAGATGGGGAGCCAATATGCAGCTGCACTCGGGTGTCGTTTGTCGCTTGTGGGGTTTGCCGATCAGAATGGCAATGCTCGTTGAACATAGCTATTATCGTCTACAGGATGCTCATGTTTACAAACGTGAACGGCAATATCTCCAACCCATTCCGGTATTCATTTGAGCGAGTTTAACTTATTATATTACATATGGATGCTTGACTGTGCAAGTTACGCCTTCAGGACCAATGGACTGGAGTGTCGAAAGTTTTGACACTGAGCTTGCACTCAAAACTCTCCCAAACATATCTGCAGATATCAATGAATTTTGCCATCGACAGTACATTAGTTTTGCAAACAGAATTCACTGAAAGAGTTTTGGCTCTTTTGTCTACCTGCCTAATCAGAAACCATTGACATTTGCTTTTCAGATTTCAATGAAATTGGAGTTCTGAAATAAAGTATCCTGATCGCGATAACCGGGAATTGTGCTGTCACCATTCAATTAATTCCTCAGAAAGATGAACACTAATTCTGGCTTCGAGTTCTGAAATAAATGATCCTGATCGCGATAACCCGGGAGTTGCGCTGTCGCCGTTCAATTAATTCTCCAGAAAAATGAACACGAATTATGGCTTTGAAACCACTGAATTCTGCTGCAATTCCCTGAAATTTGACGACAGGAAAACCGCCACGCATGTCCGGCTGACATTTGTGTCTTGAAAGTGCCCCTTGCGACTCGGCCGTTGGGCATCCAACGTGGCTTCGTGCCGTACTTGTTCTTCCTTAAAAACCACCGAGCACAGACTTCGTTACCTCACCGTACTTGTCAAGGCAAACTACACAATTGCTGCCAGCCTTGCTCGCAGCCAAATCCTTTTTGCTGAACATTTCCAAAATATGTTTTTGATAACAGGTTGAAAGCCATACAAAAACTTCAGATCATTCTAATCATTTTGGGGCTGCTTGCACACTGCAGAACTATTCTGACTCAATTTCTGCAATCCCTGTTTGTATCAGATGCCTATTTGCACTCTCCAGCAGGAACATACAAAGGCTTTGATGTCATTTCCTTGTGGGGCTGCCTGCCGCCACCCTGACAGCAAATGTAAAACGATGATGATGACAGCAATATTAAGTGCTTGATGGCGTCAAACGATGCCCTCCCGATTGTGGATCTTCCAACCCTCTCCCTCAGCGGCGTGGTCGAGAACTGGTTTCTGTCAAGGGGGAGGTGATGATAGGACTCGCTGTGCTACGCAATAGGAGTAGGAAGGCTCCCACCTGCCCCAGCGCATTGCACCGCTGCAGTGTGCTCGCTCCCGTCTCGCTCCCTGGGGAAAGGCATGGCGGAGGTGGGCATCTACAAGGCGGCCTGCCAGGTGTGCGCCGCGGCGCTGACGCTGCGCTACGTGAAGCGACGGAGCCGGGGCAGGAACGTCGCTGGATCCAGAAGGGGCGCCCATGAGCCGCGGCAGCTGCCGCCCTGCGGGGCCGCGGGCGACGGCCAACCGGGGACGAGCGGGGAAGGGGATGAGCTGCTGAACTTGCTGAGGGAGGATGTGGAGCGCAAGCGGCGCGCGGAGGCGGAGCTCACGAGCTACGTGGAGGGGGAGAAGCAGAAGCTGAGGGAGGCCGCCGAGCAGGTGGGGCCCGGGTTGTGATCTTGGTGACTCGGTGCCGCGAATGCGGCCGCGTTTGATGGATGGGAAGTACGGCGCAAGCGATGGGCTGCTCTTGGGGCGCGGGTCGGTGTGGTTGATGAGGATCGCGAAAATGTTCGAGAGGATTGTGCTTGCACCGACGATGCGATTGTGGGCAACATTCCATTTGCGGGTTGTTCGGATCTTTGTTCAGAAAACCCTGAACATCCCGAAAACGGTTCCCAGCACGCAGCTGGAGATGACCAATGCGTTAACTATCCGCAAAATAGAACAGTGCTTCGATTGGGTATTCCTTGGGGGTTGTTATATGATGGCAGGCAGCTGCTGTGGTAGTTCTTCTTCTCCAATGGATTAACATGGCAAGAGAAGGGCTCACAGATGCACACAGAAAGAAAAACTGCACTCATGGCAGGAATTGCTGTCATGTATAGTGCATCGCACCTGAAACCTACACTGACAATTGGAGGTCATTTCGATCCAGAAACTGTATCAAGGCAACTGTGCTTTTATGAAAGTCTGCTCTGTTGTTGAAAACACAGAATTTGCCAGAAACATGTCTTATTTCACAGGTTCTATCATTTTGGCCAGGCTGCCTGAAGCAAATGGGAATATGGCCTCCATTGCCCAACCATTAGAGCCTCCTGGAATGGCAATATGATACAGCATGCTATGGAAGCTGAGAATCTCCATGGTGACCTTGCTGTGTATCGTTGCAAGAAAATGGGATTTCATGTAAATATTAAGACTGCATGTATCGCCATCCTTCCAGCGGGTTCTGTATGGCACCCAACTGCCTGAAATGAGCCTGATTGCTCGTATGATAAGTGCCCTGGGACCATGTGGCCAGCAAAGTCGATTAAAAGAAACAATGGCAAAAAGGTTGTCACAGAATGGCTGAGATCGGAATGCTTGTAGAGACGTTAGAACTTGCACAGCAGTGCTAAGTAGACATGCTACTATGCTTGCAATCTGAGCAGTGTCTACTTCTCCTTGCTTTGATGCACATTTGCTTTCTCCATACAGAATGTGCTTGTCAGGCATGTGCAACAGTAGTCAGTGGCAGACACAGTATTGAGCATCGAAATTCTGGGCGACCCCAGTGTGTTGTTTATTGTCTTTGTCTGCTGTGCCTGACTGCACCTTTTGACAGCATGATATGTATCGTTTGGTGCATGGTCCAGTTCTCACTGGTGAGTTCTTTGCAATTCAAGACCTATTTTCACTGCCACATTCATTTGAAGATCCGGTAGTGCGCATGTGCGCACTGTGAGCACGCACCACAGACGATGTTTGGAATGGTTACAGCATAATGTGTATCAGTGATTATATTCGTGATACGTGATCGATAGTATGTGATCATGAATGTTGCAAAAAACGCTTGTGGTGGTACAGGCCAAGGATGCAATAGATCAAATGAGGCAGGAGAGCAAGGAGATTGCAAGCCAACAACATGACGAGGCAATGGTATGCCCACTAAATCCGAAGCCATCCTTCTTTGGTCATACAGCTTAGCATCAGTATGCCCATCATCAACATGTGATGGATGCAAGTGTAGTGATTGTCACACATGGTGCACAAAATGACTGTGGATTCATTCCAACTTATTGACATCAGCTCATTCCAAGACTTCGATCTATGAGCTTGCAATTGCATGTGACAGGGCAACATCGATCAGATGTCATTGCAACTAGAAAGAGATGTGAAGGAAAGCCAAAGACGGAGGGAGGTGGGTCGAATGGGTTTGCAAAAGGCAGGGATGCTGCAACATGCATGTCCCACATAGAGCCCCTGTTATGATTGACATTGCAAGCCGCTGGGATACTGAGCCCTTTTGAGAGGCTTGCAGTAAGGTAGTGGCTGGTGTCTCAGGGGGCTTCTTCATTGGCCTGTGAATAGTTCTTGTTCACCAAGGGTTTGGACTTGGCCAGTCTGATGAGCCAATCGTATGGTCAGCCAGATGGTTCTCTTGCTTGTGCATTTAGACGCTTGTCAGAATGCTGATTGGAACAATAGAATGCTTGGTATGACATCAACTCGCTCTAAAACAGCAGGGATGATTATGGCGTATTGGACTTTCGCTTTGACAGTAAATGGACACCCTCAATATCGTTGTGCAGTGGCATTTTGGAGCAAATCATAGTACGTTGCACTGTGGACAAGTTCGGCAGATGCACTATTGCATGCTCACGAGGCGGCGCCCATGTATGATATGCTGCTCTTCAATTCCTTTTGTGCCTGCTTCAGTCGGACGAAGATGAGTTTGTTGAGTGGGAAAGGAACATGACACAACAAAGGAATGAGGGGCAGTTCTTCAAGAACTTGTATACTTCTGTCCTGTCGGATCAGAAATCCCCAGAGCAGACCCAGGATGCAATGGAGGACATGCAGGTGAGGCACAATGGACCCTGCTATTTTGAAAACCCACAAGGGGATGTGAACGCAAGTATGTGACTTGAGTTGCGTCGTAAGCACAACAGACATTTCTTGGAATATGGCACAAAACGCATTTCAACGGGCCAAGCCCCTTCTTAGCAGAATGCGGCCTTGAAACATCCTTGAGACGAGGTGTCACGTTCAAAGTTTGGAAAACCAGGCTCGGTTCAAGAGTGCCTGGCATTTTTGACAAACAACATTAGGGAAGCAGACAGGTCGCCTTGCAGTTTGAACGGGGAACAGTCAGTTTGTGGCAGGTATGGTTGTCCCGTGAAGAGCCACAGCTGCCATGTGCTCAAGGGCAATGGCAAGGCCATTGGTGTATGTTTGTGCATGGGGTGAATGCAATGGGCAGAAAAAACATTTGACCATTCTGCTGTTGTTCATTGTTCTGTTCAGCGGGGTCCATGGCGGGCCTTTCTATTAAGCACCAGCATCTCAGTGCGGCCAGAAGGGGGGGAGAAGGAACCTGTTGTCCCCTCTTAAGGCCACTCTTTCCCCGTAGTAGCAAGCTAACTCTAGAATGATTGTGTGATGTTGTGTCGGAAATGCCCAGCAATGAACGGTTGCGACCATGTCACAAAATTCGACATTGGCAGAGGCTTAGTATGCCGTGATGGTGTCCTTATGACGTCATCTTGGTTTGATGGACGACTGTGTTGACTGCACTTAGGCGCAAGGGCGGTCAGATATGTCTATATCTGGTGCCTATTGGAGGATTTTCCTGTTTGGATTTGTTGAAGGCGCCTACTTTTTGAAGCTCGTACAAGGTAAGCAGGATACTGCTGTACGAACAGCAGTCTGGTGGATAGAGATCGCCATCGTGGTTCTACAAACGTCTCAGTGCTACTGTTTGTTGCTGTGCTGAATACGCAAAAGACAGCGAATTGAGCTTGCTGCTCTGTTTTAATTGTTGGAAGCCGCCATCGCTCCTTCTGCTGCCTTCTTGGATGCAGACATCTCTATGTGCCTTTCAGATTTGCAGACGCAGTCCGACGGCTGGATTCAAGACGTCGTCATAATGGTGCTGGCACTGTTGGCCAGTTTGCCTTTCATGTTCCAGTATTTGAGGAAAAGCGAGCAGTGAATGCATGTCGAGGCCGGGTTCAGCGCAGGAGTGATGAAACAAGCCATTGCCTTCCGCGATTCAAAGCTCCTGCATAACATGAAGGTTGTGAGCCCGTTTTCTTGGGCGAAAACGGCCAACTCCAACTGTCCTGTGGAGCGAATAATGCCTGTATGCGAGCTTGGACGAAGACGGCAAACATACTGTGCGTGAGGGTGCTTCTGTTCTCTTAGGATTGAGCGTTCACAAACGCCAGGGACACTGTGTAGCCAATAGCACATGCCAGTATCTTCTGGATTGATGTAAATCTTAAGTTAGTAGCGCAAACCACCGCACCGATTGGTAAGCAGACGGTACTTCTGCGCTCAGGGTGTGGTCGCTGAGAGGGCATGCCGGATGCACAATACACTATGTCATGTGACGATTTCATGACACCATTTCTTGGTTGCCGACATCTGTCCCTACATTCACCAGCTGCTTGAAAATGGCAAAAATTTCACGTCCTGGAAATCGACCCAGCTCCCCCCTTGCCGCTGATACTTCATTGAACCGACAAGGAATATCACCATGGCCTTCGATTGCCGCACTCTCCAATTTCCTGAACTCTTTCTGCCGCCTGGCCTGTTCGCTCACCCGCTCCACGGCTGTTTCATCGCCGGAGTCAGGATTCACAATGGGCCCAAGGCTGATGGAGTCGACCACAGCGGTGCCTCCCAGCGTTGCCACCTGCACATGATCGAATAAAACGTCTCGGAAGCCTATTTTCGTATCCTTCTAATATCGCAGGGATCCCCTTGTGTTGGAGGAGAGCAGACGGCACAGCAGAAAGCTTTTTGTGAACAGAGCTAACTGTGAATGTCATGGCATACTCTCGATGAGCTACTGTGCCAAGGAGTGCCATGGACAGTAGAGTCAGGGCATCCGCGACCATGCTTGGTGCACCGTTACCGACCCCGATCCACACCTGCAGGCAGCACTTCCGGCAACCTTCCTGCTGGTTCTGCAGAAGCACCCAAACCTTCGAACAGGAAAATGCAGGGATTGACAAGTGATGCACACATCCCCGCACGCCACACGTAATGGGATTGCAAAGTGAAAGGCGGCGCCCCGTGCGACTGTGGCACTGTAAAGCACATCACGGTCTGGACCAGAAGTTTCATCATCCACGTGGTATTTGGATACCCACCCCTCTCAGCACTCACCACATCACGCAGGTGTGCAACTCCGAAGGGCACGGGCTCGTGTGAATGGTCCCCAAACACCACTGGCGTGGAATGATCTCCCGTGCAAGCAAGTACGAAAAATTCACCGGTCTCTTCTTGACTTTGGTGGGTCCAGAGCAGACGGATCAGTTGTCCAATCATTTTGTCCACACTTTCGATGAATTGAACCTGGAAAACGCTTGGATCAACTCATGGATGGAGAAATGTGCCTGACGTTTCCGCCACAACAGCGCGGTGCATTCGTACAGTGGTTCTGAGTCAGTGCGTTGGACTGTTGCGAACTGCAGAATGCCAATGGCATTCACAGAAACGGGTTCAGTTAGCTACAGCATTGTTCGTTTCTTTTGGCAGTGCGCCGCTGAGCTCCCTGGTTAGCGATTAAGCCATCAAGGGGGAACCATCACACCACTGAGCCCCGTGACTACGTCTCTTGACGCAAGACGACGCGTCCTATGGCGCCGTACTCTCGCAGAGGCTCGGCAGTGCAGACACTCCTTAGGCTCTGGACGTTGGAACACTTGTATCGAAGCGTCGAAGGGCCAACGCTCGCAAACTTTGGTTTGTGAACCCAGCGGATTGTGGTTCGACTACAGGTTGCAATCCCGTTGGGCTGCACTTTCACAGTACAGAAAGCATTGGAAGGCTGGATGGACCTTGTTGAACACGAGGCTAGCAGTAGGAAACTCAAAGAAGTGGAGACAATGCACACATGATCACAAGCGAGGCACTGGGGTATTAACATGTCCCACAAGTTTGGCACCGCATACAATTGGCGCCTTTGAGGTGCTCGTGAAACAGTTGCTGGTACTGAGCACTTCTCAACTGCGACTTGAAGCAAACTTCACCTCTCAGGCTTGTGCAAGACAATTTGGTTAACACTACAACTCAGTCATCCAAGCGGTTGCTCACTGCCAAGCCAGGGCAAATCGCTAAGATCGCCAAATTTGTACTGTCCCGAAAGTTGGCACGCTGGATGTTGGTTTGCAGCGCACCTTCAATGCTATGTTGCGGTCGTGCCCGCAATCGTCAACGGCTTTCACGTGCAGAAATCCGAAGTCATAGATGTTATTCGTCATTGCGTCGCAAATGGACCGAGCTTTCTGGTGGAGAGCAGTGTTGTAAGATCCAGTTGCGCCATCGACATCCAACACGTCAATTCCTAGGGTCATCCCCAAACCTGAGCCGAAGCATAAGCTGTGTCAAGGCTCTGGCAGGTGCCAATATTTCTGCGAGATGCACGAACGATAGCGCATGGGCACCCGATCCCCAGCGCCCTCTTTCGGCGAGTGTTCGATATTGACCAAAGTGTAATCTTGCTGTCAATGGGAAATGAAGAGACACACGCAACAGCCAGGAATTCCTTTAGAGACCTGCCTGATGAGAAGCATATGTATGTTGTTCGCTGCCAATGACGATGGCAACCTTTGTATCAGACAAAGGTATGTGCACTGCCTACAATCGATTGCGCAATGTTAGTCTGCGGTGACCAACACCCACAACCACATGCACACGCACATGCACATCAATACGCATATGCCATGTTGCCTTGGTCACCCACCTGCAATTATCTTTGTCGGGGCTACCATGCACGCCTTGAAGCCATGCTGCTCCTCCATGCATGGAACATCGATCCTTGTGCCACAGCCGCGAAGCAAGACAACGTTCGCTGCTGGCAAACCGGAGGCACGGCGATCGGCAGTGATTGGGTGGGCCTCGAGAGCATTATGCAAGGCTGTCGATAGCTCATTTACCAGTGCTGCTGTATACACGGCCTGACCGGCACAGCCACCATCTCAGGGACTGTCTCCTCAACCTGGCCGAAGGACGTGGTTCAAACCAGATGATGCGATCCTGCAATGCGGGACCAGCTTGTGCTCTGTGCATTGGCTTTTCAAAGTTTTCGCATGTTCCAGATTTCCGACAATCTCCAAATGATCTGAAGTTCCCAGCAAAGTATGCTGGTGCAACATGGCAATACAGCCTTGAGAATGCAGCCTACCACAAGCGCATCAGCATCAAATAGCAGCAGGGGCATTGCTCATTGCGATAGTCTGCTCAGAATGGCCAGACTCAACTAAATCATAGATATGGAGCCGTACCTCTTTGCTGCCATCTGTTGGAGCTGATTGCAGCAGAGGCAGATTGTCCTTTAGTGGATCGGTGCCAGTAATGGCGTCAGTCAACCCACAGCCATGGACCACCAATCCGCATCTATGTTCGGTGGCATATTTCACACAGATCTCATGGCACGGAAACGACGGAAGCTTGATGCCTGCGATGCGGATCTGGAAAACCTTCAGCCTTTCAATGACTGCTGTGTATTCAAGGTCAAAAGACCAACTGATATAAAACCCACCAGAAGCACCCTGTGATGGCCCCAAAGCACGAGCAGTGGTGGAAGCCAGCATCTGCACAAACTCTACTTTAGGTTTGGAGGGGTTTTCAAGAGTGTACGCCAATGACCCAGGACATACAATTCTTGCAACAGGCTTTGCCTGCAGTGTGTGGGGGACAATGTGGTGCTGATTTGCAAATTTTGGCCCATCAGCATTTGGCAGCCAGAAAGGTGCCAACAACATCAGCTGGGGGGAACGAAATCGTCAGAATCTGCTCAGAACTTGCTCTCGAGCTAGGGACCCTCACCATTGAGATCCGCACACAGCTGAGGTCCAATGCTCTCGAAGTTTCTGTCTGCTCGTCGCCTCTCTACGATTCCTGTGTCCTTATTCAAGCAAGCAAAATTGCATTTGAATGCAATGTCTCCAGGTGACATTTCCAGGCCGGCACCCATGCTCTCCAATGCTCCACGACCACGGTACAGCCTGAATCAAATTCAGCGACCTCAAAAAATAGGTGCGGTTGGCAAACCATCAAGCACAGCGTGTTTTGCAGTGGCAAGCCTCTATTCTGGCTTCTTTCAATCAGGTCTGGATGCTGGAACTAAACTTGTCAAGCATGACTGGCCCTTCTTTCCTGACAGTTGGCGTGCTCCCAGCCATATTTCGGATGCATGCGCGACATAGCTGGCTTGAGATACCGTGTGAACAATCCATTCTGTCTGTGCGGGTCCAAAGGAATTCATCAAGCCATCAAGGCAGCCTGGCTATCACTGATCTTCATGGAACATATTATGCACATTAACATGAGCAGACCAAGCAAAACTGGTATCATCTTTGCAGAGCACAAGGTTTGGCATTTTGCACTGTTCATCTGCTGCAATGCATTTTTCATCTGCTGCTACAGCTACATCTTGCCATGTGTGAGTACCATCGTTCCCAACACACAATAGAAAAAGCAACCCTCATCGAACAGTACTTCATCCAGTCATGGATGGCTTCTGCAAGCAACTCCTTGCTGCATCGGTGCCTAAAAGCGTTTGGCTACTGCACCCAAATGAAGCAGCTGACTTCTGAAAAGACTACAGGAAATTCCCACAGTGAACACCACCCTACATTTCTTGATTGCCATGTCACATTCGAGAGGAACATCAAAGCACAATTTTATGCACATCCTGTGACAAGTCGGCAGTTGTTCGAATAACTTGAATCATTATCAGAAGAATTTCATGATGTTTCTGCCAATGAACTTTGCAATTGCCATCGAGGTTTCAAGTTGCTAACAAGGAAGCATACAATAATTCCAAGCTCATTCTTACCGCCTGGGCTCGTAGCCGAAAATGGACATGTGGGCTGTGTCACTGCCGCACGCTAAACCAGGCTCAACAGGGTCCAACAAACCTGTGAAACCGGAGGCTGAGCACAAAAGGCCACCGTAAGAACTGCGGGGGCAATGACCCAATCACAAGCGAACTCCTGTCCGCTGCCATGCCACTGCCATTGCCACTCCATGCCACTGCCTCTTCAGGTCCAAGGAGCGTATTTGCTCCTGGAAGCCCATGGTGGCTGCGTGTGCATCTGAAATGATTACTTGTTCCCTAGGTGACAGCGTCTACACTCGCTAACCATTGACATGATCACAAACAGCAGGCAACACTGCCAAGCGAAATATGCATGGTTCAGGTGGGGACACGGCCTTTATTTTTGAGCCATTCGCGCTGTCGAGAAAATCGCTTTGTTTGTTGAAACAGTGCGCACTAACTTCATCCATTTGGTGCTCTTGGGGGGAATGGACGTGTTGGTGCATTGGGCATTGGACACGTGGTTGTGCGTGAACCCGCATCATCAACAGCAAATACATATATTCCCCCAACGCCCCTCGCACCAGCACCGATCTCTGGCCCCACGGCTCACCTGCGAGAGCATCCAGGTACGGTGTCTTCGCTGCCTCCAGGGGCGTCAGCCCGTGCAGCTGGGCCACAGAAACATCGCCGACGCCGTCGATCATGACGAAAATGACCTTCCCTTTGGGCAGCCTTGCCTTGCCCAAAGGCATGCTGGACCAGCCAGGCCGACGATCGGCAAGCCGACAACGCCTCGCTCTGTTCCCGGCCGCGGCTACGCCGCAGGATGGCCACACCGGCGATTCGGTAATGCAGCCTGGGATGACCCCTGGGGCCGAATGTTGGGCATCGGTCGCATCACAGAACATTGTGCTCGGCCTGAGCAGCACAACTCCCCAGAAGGTGCTTCCCAGCGCAGCCACTGCCAAAAGGGGGGTTGCCACGAGGGCGTCCATGCCGGCTGCCGGGCTTTTCGTCCGCGCGGGCTTGACTCGCCCTGACCCCGTTGCGCGGCCCCGCATAATATACAGGCGAGTTGCGGGCCGTCGGCTGATCTTGCAGTGAGGCCGTTTGTGTTGATTCGCTTGCGCTGTTAGTGGGACGACCAGGTCGCCAGAGGCTTGCCCAGGCCTTGTGTGCGGATTGAGTGTCCTGCTCACGAGGCTGCATTCGTTTGGGATTAAACCAGCAAATTGTCAAGGCTGTTGAGACGCGTTGTCTGCCCAAAGGCCTCTCCGCAGTTTACTTGTCGGGGCAGTGTGTCAGGCGAATTGCCGGATCATCGATGTAGTTGTAGAAAGCCGCCTCACTTCGGGGGAAATCCAGGATCATGCGCGTATTCTACGGTACGTTACAATTTCAATATTTTACTCAATGCGAAAGGCTCCCTTGTGCTGATGTGGGACATTGTGAGTATCGTCACAAGACTTGGACACGTGTGGTATGTGGCCCCTTTGTCAAACTTTTGCTATCTTTGCGTCTGGACCCCGATGTCCCATCAATTGAACCTAAATGTACTGTGTCACAGTCGAAGGCGAGCTGACGTCCATCCCGGCGACCTTGCGAAATTGCTTCATGCAACTGGTGTGACTGAAACAGGTAGGTACTCTTTGTACAAGGCCAAATGTTGCTTCAAAGTGTTTGATGTCTCCAATCGACTTCCAGGAGTATTCTGTGGCAAAAACGCAAATTGAATGTGAACTCTGGCTGTCCATCCAAAATCAGTCATGTGGTTAATCTCAGACTATTGGACCTATGTCTGTGCCTATTGTGTCGATTGGGGTTGGCTTTCGACTACAGAGTTATGTGTGCCGATGCACATGTCCATGGGTGTGCCAACCTGACTTCTGTTTTGCTATGCTGTCTATGGCAGTTGATATTTCTCAATCAGCAAGGTCAGTGGAGGGATGTCTGACTATGGTGGCCGCATTCACTCCCTTGCTTGACAACAAAGGCCAACGGTCCAATGGGAATTCCTGCCAGCCCTTGGAGGGACCATGCCAAGAAGGTGCATCCTGAATTATCAGCTTGTAAGGGTGTCTCCTTGCAGAATGTTGACACACCTGTTTGGCAGAGCCTGTACTTACTGCTGCTTTGAAATTGAGCACCAGTGTTGCTGCCCTTGCTGTGTATGCATGCAGATCATCTTTGATTCTATTTATCAAAGAGGACGATTCCTGACCATGCATCTGTGACCTCACCATTGGTGTTCCCAGGCAAGCATCCACAGCAGGCTGGCTGAACATTCCATTCACAGCATTCATTTTGTGATATGTGGACACACTTGCAATTTGCAGTTTGATGCACACTACATTTTCTAGCAGCTTCACTCTCATTTCCTGAGTTGGGGGGGCGACTGCTCTAAGCATGCCATACAGAAAGCACGGGTGTTGATGTTTGATGTACATATGTGAAGCACATATGAATATTGTTTGCAGTTTGAACGATGGCCCAGCAACACAAATCTAAGTTTATTTCAGACAAATTGAGTGGCCTGTGTTGTCAAAGCTATGGGGATTGCCAGATGCCAAGACAGACGACTGTTTCTTGCGAAAAGGGAGTTTGAATCCTTGCCATGGGGAGCTTGGCATCTTGTTTATATGCAAATATTCACTTGCTCAGTTGAGGTTGTGTTTCTGCACAGGCACAGAAATTGGGAGAACGCCCCCATGGCTCACTGCATTGGGCGGAGGGAAACGAAAACGTGTGCTGATCGGTTTTGGACAGTGTAATGGCGATGCCTCAGTGGTAAGTTACACTTTGGTCCCCGTTTTGTGCAGTTTTGCCAATCATTGTATTGCTCTCGCAAACATATGTCAGTCTTGCTCTCCACGGAATGTTGTGGCAGTGATTTCAATTCGGTTTCGAGTATGGAAAACTGCATGAAACAAATGTCTGGATTGCAAACGCCAGCCCCTGCTTGCTGAAGGAGTTGTGAAAAGCATTCCATGTTAGATTTACAGCCTGTTCTGCACCTGGCAACGCATTGGGATAGCACGATGCTCCAGTGCTTGGTCGATGCATTTGTGCAGGTTGCAACAATGCACAATGTAGTTGTCCACCCCAAATATAATGGCCTGGGCATCGGCTCCACCATCGTGGAGCGCCTCCTGCAGCAGGTGGTTAGATTGGGGATCTGCGAAGTTGGCGCGATGGTGCCACTGCATTTAGAAGGCTATTTTGCCCTCTGTGGCTTTGGCGACGACCCCGAATCGGCGCTGCCAATGACGTACAGGAAGCACAAGGACAGGTTCACATTCTCCCCTCCAAGGCTTACCCCCACTCTGCATCATTTGCTGCTTCAAGAATCATCGAAGTCAGAAGGAAGGATGTGATCCAACAGTGAGCCAAAGTGGTCCTGCTGGTGTTTGTCAAGACACAGGAACATCGCGACTGCCTGCTGCGTGCCATTGTGCAACATACTTGCTTGCACAGCTGCCAGGGGCGACATACTGCAGCTTGTGGATTGGTGGCATTGGTGGCTTCGCCTCAGCCACATAGCAAAGTCACAGGCCGTGTTCCCTGTTTAGCTGCAGCACCCTTGCAGCAAGGCTACTGGATGCTGCGGGGCCAGGACCTGGATTGCATTGCATCGATGCTCCATGAAATGGGATTGATGGGGAATACAGCGTATGAACCACGCAATTTCTGGCATTGCGGATGCAGGGTTGCTTGCATGCCTGCCACCTGCCACATGGATGTGGGCATGCTGTTCATGGAGGCCAGTAACACAGCACAGGGATGGGCTGATTGAGAAGTGTTGCGTAATCGAGCGTGAAGTTGTGAGTGGACTATTCAAGACTTTTTGGCAGTGGGAACAGGATTGACCGAGCCCATTGAGGTGCACTGCTGGCAAAACTGGCTTTCCATATGTGATCACTAGAAAATCGACAGATGGTCATGCAGCTGGTGGACATTGCACTCCTGGCCATGTGGATGTAGTAGCTTTCCTGTCAACACTAATTAGCATTTCAGGATATAAGGGAGGACCTTCTCAGGCACATAACATCACCCACAGAGTTGCTAATTTAGATTGATGGCTGCAAATTCCTAAACTCGTTTGCGGTAGCAACTACAGTGCCAGAAGTTGTGGCCAATGGCAGAGGCTGACATGAACCTGCACATGTGGTCCACCCTAAACATGCAGCACTATGCTGCAAGGGCAAATGATGTTTTCCTGGAGAACGCAGCCATCTTGGACTGCACTGTGGCCATTTCCTTCCGCCCCAGATGGACACAAAATCCTCCCTCTTGCATGCCGACTTGATTCCCACTGTCCTCGTTTCTTTTCCTGATTGCTGCATATTGTTGCATATGCTCATCTTAGCGTCTGGTGCAGCCCTTCGTTGCACTGGACGTCGGGGTGCAAATCACAAGGGCAGACAAGCCCCACATCATAGGGAGTCACCTTGTATCCAGGGCTTCAGTATCGATGTGTTAGAGCATAAGACCTGGTGAATCTACGCGTGCGTCAACTTGGAATCGGAATGCGGCACTGGATTGAAGGCCTGCGCTCTGCAATTTAGCTGATTGCCATGGCCAATTATTCGCCTGTAATCCGATGGCATAGTCCTATTGCAGATAAGACCTGGCTGGAGAAGCAGTTCCCAGAACTCAAAAATTTGCGCTGCAGAGTGTGAGCGTTGCTTTGCCAATTGTGAGCCCCTCAGTTACGACATTTTTGTTCAGAGAGTTGAACAACGCACTGCGGTGCACCCTTGCCAAGGACCATCTTGTGACTGACGGCGAGAATCCAGAGTGATGCAGCCGATCATGCCTTGCAAGGAAGTATCGGTCGATAGGTTCTTGCACAAATGTATTCACCATTAGAGGCGGCGGATTCGCTGTGGAGCGTTGGGTGTTTGGCATATTAATTGGCAATGTTGAAGTACTCTGGATCATTGTGGCCGTGCAGTCAACAACTTAAGTCCCTAGCGGTACCAGTTGTCTTGCTGAGACGCTCCCTGAGAGCTAACGGTGCTTGTTGTGGTCGTTGGTTTTGTGCAAAGGATAGATGCTTCAGCGTTACGCCACCATGTGTTTGGGATTCGGACATGCTGCGTTCGAGATTTGCGCCAACCAACTTGAGGACTGACTGTAAGTGCCTCTAGAGCCACTACAGCAGATCTGTTGCAGCCCAATGCCGCTGTTGTTTAACCACCGCCAAGATGTGGGTTCTGCTGCTGCAGTAGTGCTGCCGCTGTACGAAGCAGCAATGAGGTACAGCCGCAAGAATGCAGTATAACTCGTGCCCAGGCCAGCCCCAGGTGAAATGTGCCTTTCCGCGATTGAAAGAAGAGCCAAAATACGTCATACCACATCCGGAAGTCACTGCAACAAGATGTTGTGGTCCGGCTGCTCCCAACAAAGAACGAGACGCATCAAGCCAGCATCATGCATTCCTACATCGCGATACTAGGAAATGCACAGTTGTAAGATTATGTGTGGCTTACGTTTCGAGCGCCACATCTATAACGGCGGCCCCCCATTCGTTTTCCATGGACTGCGAAACGGCTGCCTTTCCTCCCTGGCTGCCCGAAGGCACAGGACGGCGGATTCGCTCAGCTTCACAGTCTTTGCCACCCTGACCCGAGCTGCAGGATGGCAGCGGCGAAAGTTATCTCCATTCTGCAGTATTACGTCCGCCAGGGCTACGCCCGCCACGTGCAGATGTTGTGTCGGGAGGTGCTGAAGACCAGCCCCAACAACCACCTGCTGCAATTCTGGAGGGTGTACGGGAAGATAATGGAGGGCAGCTTCTCTGAGGTGGGACCAGCAGCTCGGAAACCGCCAGCCGATGCGTTGCCGATGACCAGCGCGCAAAACTGTGGTCATGTGTGGGAACATGAGTTTTTCTTCCAGGTGTAAGCCGGCGGTCGCGTGCTTCTTTTGTTTCACATCTGCTCAGCTCTGGCTTCATTTTGAGAGCAGGGCGACCAGTTGTTGCTGAGAATTCAATATGAACGCGCTGGGCGTGACTGCGCAGTATCTCAAGTGTATCAACTATCTCACGTGCGGGATCTGTGCACCAGGCCTGCTCGCACAAAGGGAGAAAGCTTGCCTTGAATGTTGTGACGCTAGTCAGCAGGGTTCACAGTTGACTTTATCCAAAAGTCGGGTGGGGAAGCAGGGTAAGACACCTAACGGCCGAAAGGTCCTAACAATATGAAAATTTGTTCTGCCCTGTCGGGGAAGTTGAGTCGCCCGAATGGGAGATACGAAAAGAGGATTGTACGTCCCGGTTATTACCAGTTTGTGGCCCCATACATCATTGAGTTGTCGTGTGTTTTCGGGCCGGTCATTGCAGCAAACAGCATTGTTGTTCTTGAATAATGCAGTTCAGACTAGCAGCATTCTTCGCGTCGCTGAGTTGATGGAGGCACCGACCACAGCTCAAGGATGGAAAAAAAACACATGCATTTTTGCACATCATTAAAAGCAAGAGAGGATTATTAAACATGGCCCATCGAGAGACTATTCCCTGTGGATTTGGTGGCGAATGTATGCCTTGGCTTTCACAAAATATTACCCACACTTCGAGCAGGGTGAATACGACATTCAATACTTAACCCATCGGCTTTGTGCCCTCTGGGCCTTGTAGTTTGTTTTGCCTATATTTTGTAGCATCTCAAGCAACGTTACGATGCACTTGGCAGCACAAATACCCACCGTTTCCGTGTAGCGCTAGGCTGTATAGTACATACCTTACGCAAAATTTTGCACAACAAGGGGGGGAACCAAATTTATTCAGGAATTGAAAGTTGTAAGTTGTGGAGTCTATCCTCCGTCCTTCCCCTTTCAACTCTTTTTGCATTTCCCATTCAGTCCCTTTGGATCTTGACAACCAGAATTTATTGCGTTGAGAAATCTGATGTTCCGTTGTACAGAATCACTATCAGGTTATATTGTAGTAATTCGATATCTTTTCCGACGGGAACCGGTGGTTGCCTCTATTATCGCAAGACACGTATAGACATATCCTCGTCTGTCATTCCTGGCTGTCCATTCACAGGCAATGCAAGACCTTCAGTCTATACAACCTTCCCATGACACAGCCCCTGCCATCGCTGCTGCAAGAATTATGGTCCACAAAGCGGCAAGGCTGGTGGACCACGAGGCGGTTGGAGACTTGACAGTTGAATTGGAGGTGAGCCAAGAGCCGCAGAAGGTCCCCATTCAATGCAAGTCAAGTATCATCTCTTCCACAGCCTGGTAGGCATTCTGAAATGATCAGAAAGCGTGCGGTCACAGCATGCCCTGCCTTGTCGTGCATGTGTTCCTCCCAGAGACGTTGGTCGAGGATTGGCGTCTGTTGGACAAGGCGCCAATCATGGCTGCTACACACAAGCACCGCCTGTGCTATTACCATGTGGCGTCGCATGACCTTTGTCAAATTCAATTATCGTCTGATCTTCAGCAAAGAAGTTCTTCAAGAGCCACGCGAAGCATCTTAATCGCAATTGAACACTAATGATTGCGTTGATGTATGAAAGCGCGCGGGCGCTCTTCCGAGCTAGGAGCTTTACGAACTTTGGGCACAATGGCGTGTTGCGCTGCTGGCAGGGTTTGGAGAACTCCTGCTCAGAAAGCGCCAGTATCCTGCTTGCCAGCTTCTATTGCAACACGGGGGCCAAAGAGCGAGCGAGGGCAATTGGCGAGCGGGTGCTTCGGACCACAGGGGACAGGACAGAAGCCGAAGTGCTGCTCGGATGGACAATTGTCACGCAGCAGAACGAGGACTATGGACTAGATACTGGCGATGAGCTGGACGATGCGCGAGCATATTTTGAATCAGCTGTGGAAACGGACCCCAACAATCTGGAGGCGAGTTGCGAGCCTGCGGATATTTGGGTTTCAAAGCGAATCCAATCATGCACGGTGCACGCGTTCTCGCTTTTGTAAGTAGTGCTTTACAGCTCGCCGAGCAAGGCCGTTGCAATTGGAAAACTGAATGCTTGCATTGCGTCCAGGCAGCTATGGGAAGGGCGAAGATCGCAGAAATGCAGAAGCAGTACGATGTAGCAATTGAGAGGCTGCAAGAGGTAAGGTGAGGTGCATTCGCTTCAATTGCCGTCCCCACTTTCCAGAATCGTTGATCTGTTGACAGATGGCTCGCGACTGCAGCTGCCATGATCTGTTTGCAGGCTACTGCTGATGTATCCTCATATTTTTTTCCTGTTTTCTTGTATGTCCAGCACCCTGTACATATGTGCTCATGTACATATGTACATTGCGATCTGTGCTCTTTCCGAGTCTGCATCACCATTGTCAGTTGCTACCACTTGTTCTCGTCATGTAGCGGCATCCATTGCATTCTGTGAGCTCGGCACTTGAGGTTCGATTGGAACTAGCCCTGCTTTGAGGCGCAGAGGCGTTGCACGTGTAGCAGACATGAAAGGGAACCAAACAATTTTCAAGTGCGCCTGCAGTATCTTCCCCCCACCCAAATCACTGCGCCGTGTGACGGAGCTCGAATTAGGTGCATACACTTTCTGCTGGCGGTTTCTACATTAAATGGAGAAAGATGGGACATCCCTGTGCGCTTGCACGTGTCTGGCAATGTCTACCCCTGGTCACGGGACAGCTGCAGTTTTCCAGCAAAAGGATTGTACGTTCGACCTCTTGAATCGTCGCAATGTTCCAGGTCGCTGCCAAGCACCCATGGTACTATCCCTCGCTGGTTGAATGCTCGAGGCTCTTTGTGTGCATCGGCGACTGGGACCGTGCAGTGGAAATGGCAAACCGCTCGCTCAGGGCTGATCCCGAGAATATTGACGCTCTGCAGGTTAAAGGTGCCGCAACATTTTCCAATCGCAACGCCGAAACTGCACTGATCTTGCTGTCTCCGGTTTCAGTACGTTTACCAACATGAACTTGCCGATGGTGAAATCATTCAGTGGGTGCATACATGTCGCTCCCGCTGGTCGCCGAGCTTCCTGAGTGTGCTCTTCCGGTTGGGATTGCATCGATCTCATGGTCAGTTTGGTGGCTCCAAGCGACGTTTTCCATTGAGCACCGCCGCAGAAGAAACGTGAAATAATGGTTTGTGTGGAATCTGAGCAGCGCGTCGTGTATTTGCGTCATTGCTAATGGAACAGCTTCCATGCGGAAAATGCCCCTGAACTTTCGTGTGCCTCCACAGCCATGCACTTCATTGCTTGGGTGGGCAGACCGCAGCAGGCAATTGACACCGTGCGTTCTGTTGCGGCTGCTGTGGCGCACTCTGAGCCGAAAAATCCCGCGCTGTGCTTCCGGCTGGTAGGTTTCTCCACCCCGGGTCCATGTTTTATGGAAGCACTTATTCCACACGTGTTTGCCATAGGGGCGGGTGGAACCTGGGGGCGCGCCCAATGCATGGCGACACGGTTTTGTTCCTGTGCCCTGTTGGCCGCACAGTCGACGATGACGCATTTGGCCCTCACCCAAAACACATCCCAAGATGCTGGTTGAATTGGTCGTATGCTAACAGTGAAAACGCTGGCAGCATAACCGGCGCCATTCCACTAAATCCGCCGCCTTTTAGTATTCGCGATATCGTTTTCGTTTTCGTCCTTGAAATTGACTCACGGATCTGTCTTCGTTTGTTGCAGGCCCGTTTTATTTCTCGCGTGGCGGGAAGCGACACGGAGATGCTGCAAGCCTCGCTTTCTCTGGCAGAACGTGCACTCAATTTGCGGCCGGAGAACGCTGCGTATGTGAGGCACTTGCTGCTTAGAAAAGCAACATGCTTGCCATCATGCTGGCAATCATTTTCAATTGGGAGGCAATTATCTGGAAACAGAAATATCTCTGTTTGCTTCAGACCACAGACCCATGTTATCTATGCTGCGATCCTTTACAGGATTGCCTCCCTATTTTTTATCATTCAATGGAGATAATTGGCAGTAATGCAGATGCGCATGCCATTTCCACTGGAAGGGAGCCCAACCCGCCAGCGTTAAATGGTACTAGTTTCAGTATCTACAGAGAGTATTTCCCTGTTCGCCACTGATCCATCCGGCAATTTTTCAAACACGGGCATCTGATATATCATCAGCATGCATGAAATGAAACGAAATAAGAGCAGAGAAGTTTGCTTTGCGGTTTCGGTAGTGCGGCAGAGCTGCTTCAATGCCTGCTTTGGCGCCGATCCTACAGGCGTTATTTCACCGGAAATTCCACAGCGATGCCATGTGTTATATTTCATTCGCCTTTGCATATCTTCTATACGACTACTGCTTTGTGTTCCACCTCCTGTACGTTTCGCGCATCAATTCGAAGCCTACGTATCTTGGCCTTCGATTGCGATAGACCACCTCAACGCCAGTAGCCACAAGGAACTGTTGAATTTCACATTGTACTGTGCTGGCATCAAGCCTACCTTGGCTCCTGTCGTCTTGCCAAAGCAAATGACTGGCGTCCGATTCTGCAATTTAAGTGCTTGTTCCCCAGCACGGCAAATTTCGCTCCGGCGGCGGTGGATTCCTATAAGCTCGCACCATGCAGAGCTGCAAAACTGATAAAATGGGTTTGCCAGTACAACATACTTCCTCTGTCCCACATTAATTCCGTATGTGGATTTGGCGCACTATCTTTCCGACGCAAGAATTCCCTTTCCAATTTTCATTTCAAAGCGGCGCTTGTGAGTTTGGAGTAGGCGGTCCCAAATCAAGTCAATCTGTTAAGTGTTTCCCGAGAAGGCTTGGCCATTGAAACCACGCCGTCACCATCACAGGCATTCGAGGTCGGCTACCAGAGAACCCTGCTGGGGATGGCTGAGACCGCGTCGGAGGCACTGTCCCTCGCTTGCTCGCTGGATGAACTCGACATGCACGTCATGTACGGCATGGTGGAATGCCAAATACTCCAGGGGCGATTCGAGGAGGCTGAGTCGCAAATATCGTTCATCGCTGACGTCACCGCTGAGCCCGACATTCTGTCATATTGCTCGTACTTGAGAGCGCTGTTGATCGTGCACAAGGGGGGAGATGACGCTGTGGTAGGTGCCGCCCTCGGCGTCCCGGCGCTCTGTGACGGAAGCACCGGCAGTGGGATGCTGATCTGTGTCACAGTCAGGTTGTTTGCTGGCGAGGCAAGTACCCGCCCGTGTCACGGCAGGTCTTCCACGCGTAGCCATCAGCAGCGTATCGTTAAGTTTGTATCGCAAAGAGATGTCTGTGGCATGCCTCAATGGCTCATGCCCTGCTATGCGGTCTTGCAAAGGGGGAAAGGGACGAAACCACATGGACGACCTTTGGCCGCCGCTGTTTATAGACATTATTGCGCAGCAAAGGACTCCTTGCAGGATGGTCTCCAATTTTCAGCCTTTTCCACTCTATACGAATGACAACGTTTCAGGAACAATAGCTGCATCAAGTGCCACTGAATACTGGAAGGTTGCACTCAGTCGATTCAATTTTCTAAATCCAAAATTGAATTTTAGCAGGTGGTCTACAAGAATAGACAAAAATTAAATTAAATGTTCATTCTGAATTTAAATGCTTTAGACTTAGATGAGGAGCTCGTTACACCTTGATAAATCACTTACCGACAGTGACTAACAGTTGCCAATACATAATCGTTCTGTATGGTTCAAGCTCAGTTTCAAATTCCAAATCAAGCAAACGACTCCCAAAGTTGGCTCAGACACGTCGCTGGAACCTTACACAATGCCATGTGTTTTCAGGGTTCCATTCTCGTGGAAAAGGCGCTCCATTCGCACCTTCAACAGATTGAAAGCCTTCCAATGGGGGAAGACCTGTACACGAAACTGCACGCAACAAGATACATCAATTTGTACTGGCGCTGCCTCCAGCACGTCGGGATGGAGGCCAAAGAGGACACGCAGACGGCATCTGCGTACATAAGCAAGATAATCAAGTAAGCCACTGGATGAAACATTTGGCCGTCTGGCTTTGGCGCCAGCTGTAGAGCCTGGCGCCCAGTGTTGCCACGCAGCAAATGGACGATGTGCTGCTGCTTTCTGTTATGGCGTCGTGCAGTTGCTCGATTCCGAAGGGATTGGCAGAAGGCCTTCTCTGTGCGTGAATGCGAAATAGCGCAGGAATGGAGCGCTGATATTGCGCCCTTGCAAGTGAATGTCACCGATAGTGCTGTTGGGGTGCCGCGGAATGAAACTGTGGGGGATTAGCAGCATGTGCTGGTGCTTCTCATACTTGGCTCTAGAAAATTGTCTAAACTGTGCTCGATTTGCGCAACATGCACTTTAAGTGTTTATTTTGGGGTCTCAGGGTAGCATACTATCGTGCCCTTTGTGACCCTCTTGATAGTCATATGCGATAATGAAGAGCATCTCAAAAACCTCGACTCTTTTGCCGGCGGTGGCGGGAGCCTATTTTCAGTGTACTTGATGTGGTAGCAAATGGATGCACATCTGCCTCCCATTCTCCAACGCTCGCGTTGCGAAGTCGCGATTTAAGCACTAGGTGCTCAAAATGAGATGCCACCCTTTAACAACACCCTGTCGGGAAAAAAGCTCGCAGCACATTAACAACGCGCTTCTAGAAACACTACTTGAAGCAACGACTCTCGGCCTCGTTGGTTGCAGGGGATGCGCGGCTCTCCAAAAGCACGCCCCCGGCATGCTTCACTTGAAGCTCATCGCCGCCTGGGCTCTCTTGGCTGCAGGCGATCTGCACAGCGCTCAAATGAAGGCCTCAGACTTTCAGAGGTCCAGCCCAGAGGACCCCATGGGCCACCTTCTCATTTGCCAAATTTACCTCCAGCTCGGGAAAACCGAGAGCGCTCGCCTCGCGCTGGATGAGTCCGTCAGTGCGAGCTTCGCTGTCCGCGAGCTGCCGCTGTACCAGATAGTCAGCGCCAAGGTGCTGATGGCCGAGGGGCGTCTCGAAGACGCCAAGATGGTGAGAACATAGACTAAAAACCATCGCGCAAGCGGCAAATCCCCGTCGCATGATTTCCCTGACTCCTGAGGCAAGTATTGTGAGTGACTCAGGTAGTCTCGCGCGATTAAATAAGGGCCGAGATGCTGAAAGAATGGACGAACTTTGCCAGCGAATCGCTTGCGATGGGTTCCTCTGATGGGAGACGACCTGAGCTTACGATGGGACACTGGGTCCAAGAAGTCGCAGAATTGCAAGATTCTCAGTTCTGGGGACAGACCGCAAGCTGGCCACTGCGCTGTGATGCGTACACGCGATTTTTGAAGATGCGCAGCCGCCAGCAAGTCGTGTATTGGCTGCGGTGTTTTCGCGTAGACAAGACCTGCCGGATGGTCTGTCATGTTGATTCCGCGACTTCAAGTGCCCGCGATTGAGCGCGCCACTTGCAGCATTGATTCAACATGGAGCACTGCTCTCGACACTCAGATGCCATAAGCCATTGCCTTTCCCACACCAATGCCAATTTTGAGTCTTGCCAATGAATGCGGAAATCAGGGTCTCGAGCATGCAATGAAGATACCCGGTGTGGCCAAACCTGTCGTCGCCAAAAACAGAGCGAAGGGCGACAAAAATCGCCACATGCCAACTCTTCATGAGAGGTCCACAATTTACCTGCTACTGGCAAGGGTGCTACAAAGCATTCGGGTGGACGCACCCGAAGCGGCCAAGGTACAAATGCTGCAAAATGGAGCACATGCAGATGAGATGGCGCGTTTTGTTCAATTTCAGGCATTCGCACTGGTTGCCCGGTGGGAGCCAATACTCTTGTTGGGACCAAACGCCTTCGCAGATCTTCTGCCCATGCTGCAAGCGCCCTCGCCATCGGCCATGCTGCACAACACATGGAAGATTTTGCATTGTGAAGAAAGTATTTAGGGAAGTAATCATTATCTGAAGAAATAACAATTTATCGGGCGAAAGGTTGGCTTGCCAAGTAGCGAATAATTTAGCGTTGATTTCGGAACCAAATGACATTATCGACCCCACATGCTTTGAGCGACCACTCTGATGTTCGTCCAACAGCCCCAATGCCTGTAACAATGAGCCACGCGTTCCGTTTGTCGACGTTAGTGTGGGTGCAACCTTTCAGAAGGCGTTATGTTGGATCCGCCAGCAGTGAAATTGACCAGCAAGAAATGTGCAGGTCATCACAGATGCGACAAGAGAATTCGAAGGTACTCCAGAGGCTATCAATGTGCTCGTAGAAGATGCGCAATTGTCCGCAAAGAGAGGCGATCTAAGCGGGGCAATGAATAAGCTGCAGCAGATTGAACCCGAGTCGGTTCACTTCAGAAAGGCGCGCATAGCCATGGCAAATATTTACCTGGGCCAGAAAAATGAGAAGGCAGCGTATATTGGCATGTACCTTGATCTCGTGGTAAGGCATGTCCCACAGTAAATTCTCAAAGCTGCTGCAACAAAGTATGGCGAATTGAAATCCTGGAAGAGTTGCCCTCCTCAAAATGGCATTTTTGATAATTGGCTTCTAATAAGCTGCTGCCACGGCACTGTAATTGCTTTTTTGAGGCATTTGCGGATTTTTCACCAAGTTCGCTTCAGGCTCTGTGCTGTCCGCACCGTATTAAGATATCTGCACCTACCCATATCTGTCTAGACTTTCCTTGAATTTCCGCTTATAAAAGCCGAGTCCTTCATTTGGTGGCAAACGGCCTTACTTTCAATTTGTCGCCCACATCAAGGTATTCTCCGACACATGAAGTTCAAAGTGCTTCTGTTCATAACTTGTATAGCTCGCACTGGACAATGCGCTAGGAAGAAAAGGGCCAAATAATAAGCGTTCAAACGTATACAAATTTTACGGGTTTGGGCTACTTCCGTGTTTTTGTCATGCACAACGCTGATGAGATGAGGATATATGTGTTCGAAAAATGTGTTATTTGGTCCTTTTTTCTCCAAGTGATGGCGATCAATGAATCACTGGATTGCGCACAGAAGAAATTCAAGGTCGGTCTGGCATCCACGGCCAACTGTTGTTGGGTACATTACCAGGCGAAGTCGATTACTGCGGTCGCAATTACGTTATCGACAGGTCAATAGCAAGAAACGCAGTGCTTCCAGAGGAATTTTTGTCAAATTGCAGTACGATACGGCACAATACTGTTACGAACAGAGTACTCGTCGAGTGTTTCATCCGGAAGTCGTGATTGAGTTACGGCAACGTTGATCCATCAAGTCTTGCCCATGGGTCTTGCTGCTATCAATTTATTGATGTTTGTGGGACATTATTTCTCGCACCCCATAAATATACAAATGCAACATAGTCACCGCTATTGTTGGTAGGAAGATGTCAGCGCGTGGGCATTGCAGCAACATTGGCAGGAGGTGCAGGAACGGACTCGTTCCAGCAAGGCTCGTGAGCGTTGCTGTAAGGGAAGATGGTATGTCGAAATTGGTATTCTTAGCGTCATTTTGACGCCAGGGGGTGGGGCGGCTGGGTAGGCGGGTGCGGGTCCAGAATGATAAGTTTTCACCACACCGTTACGTAACGTTGCTAGCTTCAAGACAAATTGACCCTCAGCGTAACAAAATCGTCATAGCGTCTTCCCTAACTCCATCCCGATTTCCGGATGTTGCTGATGTCGGGCACTCGAAATGGTTGAAAAGTTGAAGCGCTGGCAGCCATCGTGCTTAGCACCCTATGAATGCAGAATGCATGGATTGTTCGAAGTGCAGTAGTGCACTTCCTGGGGAGCTGCACCCTTGATTTTGGTGAGCAGGATGCGATCCCTGTTCCAATGGTTGCATCCGTTGAAATGATAACCCAAGATGAAGTTACTGCAGCCCCATAATCAAGGTCTTCTGTGGCTCACAAAATGCACAGACTATGCAGCCTGGGGCCGATACTCAGCGCATGCTCGGGGAAGCTTTATTGCGCATCCACGAGCCCGAGAAGGCGGTAAAAGCTTTTGAAGAGGCGCTGGAAATTAATCCGAAAGACGGTGAACTCGCTCTCATAACAGCAAGGGCGCTTGTGACGACCCACGAGTATCAGGTGCGCTCATGGATGCCTAGCTTCGAGCTCGTGCCACACATTCTGCAGCTTTTCTGATGGATGAAGAACGGTGGATTTCTGAATGTCACCAAAATTTAAAGGTAACGCTCGCTATGCTACATTTGACGTGATTATGGAATCACAATTGAAGGGGTTATGCTCTCCTAAAAAATCGATGGAATTCCATTGAAATGATTGGATACATGCCAATTTTAACCGATATTTCTCAATTCTGATTTAATCGTCCCATGTCATAGCATTCCCTGGAAACCGGTTACAGAGAAAGGTTCTGTGCGTTCATTTCTTTCTTGAGCTGACAATCAGGGCATTGCTCTGAGGACACCAGGATGGCAATTGATTGGATTTCCCTGCTGAACCCGTGCTACGTTCTCGAATGACCGAAATTGGAGCGGCAGAAGGATTTCTCGCTGAATTGCGTGGTTCGATCCGATGAGCCAATTGTGTGCCAAATACGGGAATGAATCCGTAGCCGATGTTTCTTGCTTAACGTGCTGGTCGCTATTCCCTCTACCTTTGTGAAAGCTCATGTGGACAGAAAACGATGACTGCCCATTTGTGCGGCAGCAAACTCCCAAACTATCGTCCGTTGAGCGTTTCCAGTAGTTCCGGAACGCCTTCAACGAATTTGTGCATGCTCACTGCAGCGCGCCATCAGCTACTACAACAAAGCCATACGAAACAATGCCTCAAAGGCGCCATTGAGCCACGAGCTGGCAAGATTGCTTGTGAAAATGAGACAGTACGATCAGGCGGAGGCTGTGCTGAGCAAAGTGCTCCAGGGTTCAGAAGACTCCACGGACTTTGAGGCCCAGTCAAATCACGTCGACACGTGAGTCTCAACGCGGTGGCGTTATTTTTAAATAAACTTTCTAATGAACAAATATGGGAGGTGAAGAGCCCCACACGAACCGGATACCGTCGCCGTCCAAAAAATGGGCAATGGCGCTGCATCTCGTGCCAATTCTGGCGACTATCGCTCCTGGGAGGCTGTGTCTATTGTTTGGCGCCGGAATGCTTAGAGACCACTGAACTTTCCTCGTTTGTGAGCTTCGCAATGAGCGACGTGGAAACAGATCGCCACAGGGCTTACTGGATGAACGTGGCATGGCGTGGAAAGCGTATACCTAACCTGTACATTTGTTAATCGCTTTCGCGCTTTCGGTGAGTTCCGCAGTTCAAATACTAAACGACCCTGGTGCGCATGAACGTACAGGCTCCTGATAATGGTGGACTTAAGTCGCAGACGAGGGGACAAAGATCAAGTCCTGGCACACGCATCGAAGGCTCACCACCTTCAGCTGAAAATTCTGTCGAATATGCGAGGGGAGCATCCTGAAGCTGTTGGATTTCAAAAGAGAAGGGCATCTGAGATCTGCAAAGACCTTGGAGACTTGCAGCGAGACACGAAAGCTGTAAGGTCGATCCACAAGCGCGACTCCAACAGTTTAGTAATTTTCAACATCCATCATCTACCACTGCTTTTGGCCTAAATATGGAAGCATCGAAGACAACGACGAAACACCGGGAGCAATGAGTGTAGATGTGGTAAAAACCGACACTGATGAAAAAGCGTAGATGTGCTATTCATCTACGCTGTTTCATCGGTGTCGATACCTGCATGGACGAAGTGTAGCCTGCTATTTTTCATGTGTAACATACTGATCGCTGCATAATATTATGCATCAATGAGTTGTATCTCATGTCCTGAGCCGGTACGCGCGGTCGCGCAGTCAGCGTCATACTACACAGAGGCCCTTCAACTGTGCGAGGATTACAAACCAGCGCACCAGCGCCTCGCGAAGCTCTGCTTGGAGGATTGGGATTTGGAATCGTGCCAAAAGCACTGCAAAGCAATTCTGAAAATCGACCCGGACGATGAAGAGGCAGCGCTGATGCTGGCAGAGTCAATGTTTCACCAGGTGATGCAGTCATCATGAAATGAAGTTGACATAGTTTTGAGCCAACCTGGCCCAGAGCAGAGCACGTATCCTGCTCCCCATATTTGCAATTTACCTGCATGGAGTGCATGTGAATGGCAACTAATACGATTTTGTGGGGATTAAGGACCGTCAGTACTTATTGAATTGACAATTATAGTCTTGTTGTTTTTTGCGAGCAGTACTTTGATGCACACTGATGTTGTTTACATTTTGCCAGAGAAAAGAAAAAAAGGTTACAAAAACACACAATTAGCTCACCAGAGCGTCTAAGACAACAATTAGGAATATTGTGCACATCCCATGCCTCAATTTCTGTCAGAATCTTTTGATGCATCACCCTCAGAATCGCAGTCATTCAGCGTGCCACGTGGTCTGCCTGCCATCACCGCTGCCTTCCATTATCCTCAAGCAGCTCAAACATTCAAATGCATCTAATGCCATGCACAAAGATGTCCGCGTTTGTTGAACATGGCGACACTCGCTCCTCCCGCCACAAACCTGTCTGCCCCAAGATCTCCTTTCGCGGCGGCGCGCTGTCCCACGCAAACCAAATCGACGCTGGCTGCCACTCGTGGGATGCATGAGTGCCCGAGCGGCACACATCATGACGCACAGCTGACGGGGTGGAATGACGCACTGCAGGACCACCCGGAAACTGCTGCTCACCACTTCCAAAGGCTGCTGGACCGCCGCCCCGACAACTACCTGGCGCTCGCTCACTTGATACGAATATACAGGCAATCCGGCCGCATCGAAAACATGAAGGCATCCCTGATTCCCAAAAAGCCTCCGAGCGGCCTGCGATCCGCGGAGCCCGGGCTCTGCTACTGCAAGGGCTTGTGCCATCGCTTCTCCAACAGGCCTCTGGACGCCATGAGGCAGTACCAGCTGGCCATGAGGGGCCGCGAGTGGCGGAGCAGCGCCGTGTTCGAAATGGTAGAGATTGTTGTGAATCCGGACAATGACGTCATGTGGATGGAGAGGAGCGAAGACGGCCAGGAGGGCTCGGAATATTCGCAGAGGGCTCACGCGCTGCTGGACCAGGTGAGCGCCTGCTGCCTCGTCCAGACGCAAATGACATGTCGGAGACCGTGCGTTTCCGGATGTGAATGTCGTGAAGGCCATGGAAATGTCATCCAGGTCGCGGAGGTCGTTTGCGGGCTTTAGGTTTTAGGCTTTAGGTTTTTAGGATTTTTTGCCCTTACCTCCAATGGACTTCATGTTCGCAGCTTATCGATCTCGAACAAACCTCCATCCAGCGTCGTTCCGCCCTCGCACTAGGGAGGCTTCTCCTGTACTGCATCTGGTGGGCGCCTGCACTGCTCGTCCTAGGCCTGGACACTCAAGGGGAAAATTTCAAACCCGTTGGACTGTAAAATGGTGTCAACTTGACAACAACGTCCGGCGCATATCGCAACAATATGCAAAGTGGTGTTGATGCTGTCGAGCAGTATCACTTGACTCATTATACATACCTTTTAGGGCAGAGCATGCAACGACAGCTAAACGACGACACTGCGTTCCCTTTAACGCAACCAACCCGCCATAATCTGCTTCCAAGATCTATCGATTCAGGCATTTTTGGGACCTCCTTGGAGGCTGAACACTTGAGGAAAGTTTTGAGACATGCGCTGATTGCTTACCGCTGACCATCGGTATTTACCTCGCATTGTCATATTAATAATATAACCATATACACCACATAGTATGTGGGTTTTCAAACAGCTGCCTAACTTTCTAGCGTCACAGATCACCCCGGGCCGCACTCCACCCCGCCTTAACCTAGCTGGCGTCAAGTGGATACTATGAGCACTAATACCACACACACCGTGGTACCTGTGCATCTCCAAGTACAATGTATTTAGCCCACATTGTCCAAAGATTGTTTTCCCAATACCCAATTTGTCGCGATTCATGATGTCCACATATTATGTACTACCAGTTGTGATATGGGAAGATATTCGTTCCATCAGATAATCGGCATGCAACGTCGAAGGAACAAAGGTCTGGAAACTAAGCGACCCCAGTGAAACTTGAGGAATCCCACTCAGAGCGTGATCCGGCAACTTAGGAATGACTGATTACGCAATCAGCTGCCTCGATGATGAGTTAACTTGTTCCCAACAGACTTATTGGATTAGCGATGGTGTTGTACAAGATTGGTGGGTACTTCACCCGGTACCTGCATTGGAAACACAGTACTTCAGTGACTTCTTCTGTGCACTTACAACTTCTGGTGGCAAGTGCGCAGCAAAAAAAGAGCTTTGATACAAGAGAAAAAAGTTTTCCTGCGCTTCATTTGAAAGATGAAACCAATTGAAAACGCCCAAATTTTTGTGAATACCTTGAAGGGAGGCGTGTGCCTGTTGTTTACACAGAATTTTGGAAAGGTAGCCGCGGTGAAATGCTTCATTTCCTGCATTCATATTTTGGAATATGCTGCGCACAGTCGTGAAAAGGAAGATGACAAAACCTCTCTGACACTTGAGGCACCGGCATGGCAAAATACAAGAGGAGTTTTGCCTTCGCCGCAGTTGGGTGGGCTTTGAGGCAGCCGCATTTGCAGTCGATATTTAATACTATGCGCATCTCCAACGCTTCAACAACAAAACCTATCATATCGCAAATTGACTGCGGCAGTTTTGCTGTAGAGCAATTCTCGAATTTACCACAGAGTGGTGCATCGCCAGGTGTCTCCTACGGACAGCGAAAAATGCAAGCACACCGTCCTTCGCGCATACGCAACAATGATTACGAAAGTCAGGCAGGATGTCGAGGAGGCGCTCTCTCGGCTCGCCGATCTTGCCGCCAGCTTTCCGAACAGCGTGTCCGTCCTGTTGGCAATGGCCTGCGGTTTCGCTATTCTAAAGCAGACGCCCAAGTGCCGTAACCAGCTCAAGCGAATACAGGTGATTCACCTCATCCTCTTTGGCACGATACTTAAGCCCACGTTCTCATTGGTCCGCAGCGCGTGTGGCGCGTTTGCCGTTTCGAAACGCATGATACCTTCACGGGCGACTTCTGCCACTCCTGTGCCATCTCTTTCCCAGCTGCTGAGTATCGGGTTGGCATTGCGAATGATCAATGGCCCACTTGCGAGATCGCAGTAGTGACAGATGAGTCAGAGGAGGACTCGTATCAGATGCCATTATATTTGTGATATCTTCAGCGCAATGCATTTCTACAACCTGTGTTTTGCAAACAGTGTTTAACCTATTGCTGTGCTCTTGCGCCTATTTTGGCAGAATAGAAATGCTCCCGCATACTTGTCGAAATTTCGCCGAAAGTACTGTGGAGCCGTATCCCACGCCCATGGCCGTGGTAATGTGTAGTTGAGATTTTGTAAAAACTCATGCTCTATGCCCTGGGCTCATGCCCCATCATCCTATTAAACCTCTTCCTATCAATTCGCTAATTTCAGAACGAATCTGCAGCAAGCTCGCGCTGATGCTTAAATCCTTTGAATCCAACATGATTACCTGCAACGAAGGTATCAAACACATGACATGCGTTGATCTGGCGTTTAGAGCCAGGATTATGTCAAATTCTTATCTTTGTGCCTTACCCCGCAGAAACTTCAATTCAAATTTGGTGAAGCAGACGAATTCGAAAGGGCGTGGCTTCTGCTTGCCGACATTCACATTCAGGGAGGTACGATGGGCGGCACAGTTTCCTCAGAGTGTCAAATTCGATCCTCAAATCCAAGCCCAGAACTTGCCATCCAAGGTCACACCATAGACCATCAGCCTCTTTCTGCCTGATTCTAATGACAGAAAAATTGCTGTTTGGTACCCTGCACTGAGAACATCGTACTCACTCAAGAATAACTTGCACTGTCTGCGAGATTACTTGTGGTTTTATATGCATCAAGACGAACTTTGCATGTTGGTGTCGTTGTTTCTGTTGTCAACTACCGAGACGTGGACTTTTTTAGGTTGATTCGTAATACCTAATTTGCATTCCTATGTGAACTGCGAATACAGGAAAATATGATTTGGCTCAAGAACTGTGCAAGAAATGCCTCAAGTACAACAAATCATGCTCCAAAGCGTGGGAAACCATGGGAAAGATCATGGAGCGTGAGCAGGCATATCAAGACGCAACCGAATACTACAAAAAGGCCTGGAGGTAGCTTGCTAACACGCTCTGTGGTAACGCAATGCATTCCTGGATCGATTGGATCGGCAGAGATGGGAGCTGGCGACATTTGAGAGCAAACTCAGTCGACGGATACGCCGCATCTCAATGCAATGCGATGGAATTGGGCGTTAAAAGCACCCCTGAATGTGTCCGGATGAATGTGACCACACACTTTCGCAATTAATCATGCATCTGCGGTCGTCTGCGCGTCTCGCAAAGGCGTGCATATGCATGTATCAGACCTTCCAAGCACAACCAAATCCACCGCACACATTTACAAACCAATCATTTCCCCCACCCCTGCATTGGAAGCATGGTCTGCCTATTTCGCAATAACGTATCCACCGACAGTCTGCATTATTCGTCAACGGTGTCTAGCCTGCAGATCTGTAGAAATGTGCGCTCCAGAGTGCCACCGAGTCATTATCCACCCGCCTGTAAGGAAGATGGCAAGTGCTCATTCATTGTGTCTGCAGCTATGAGAACGAATCCTCGGCCCGTGTGGGCTACAAGCTGGCCTTCAACTTCCTGAAAGCCAAACGCAACATCGATGCGATAGACGTGTGCAGGAAGGTCCTGAAAAAGTTCCCGGGGTACCCCAAGATACAGGAGGACATTCTGGACAAGGCAGTATCGGGACTGCGCATATGATTGGCAAGGAGACGTGCACCATTGAGATTGTGCGCGTCTCATTGCTATTGTTTCGCACGAAAGTTTGTGTGAATGTGTTTGCAGCTGTGGGGCGCGTTCATTCTTCGTTGTGGAATGGCTGTACAGAGGCCTGGCAGTTGGTTGCAGTGAAATAGATGACTAGGATGTTGGTGGGCAATACAGGATTGCAGAGCCTGGCTGGCCTTAGAGCATGTGTGAAGTGGGCTTTGGCTGATGCTGCATCAAGTTTAGTGCTGGGGATGCAGCAGGGATGTACAAACTCACTCCAAAGATGTGTGTCCTTAAATGTGCATAAACACATTCAGTTTGCAAGTTTGTTCAACCGCTCAAGAGGCGGATCCTTTGTACTTTTTTGCAGACGTTATGGACGTGCATATACTCAAAACGCTTCCTTTCATGCCCCCGAACTGTTCATGTGACCTGCTTGCCATTCATTGCAATACATGTAGAAAGTGGATGAACCAAATAAAAGAGTTGGTATCCAAGACACACCGACATCCATGGCAACAAATCTTCTCCAGCCTGCACGAAAGTGGTACATGTACCGTGTTAAATTCAACCCTTCCGCGTTTTGAAATTCATCGCTGTGATTTTGTGCCGCATGTCTTCGGCAGACCACTGTATTGGGGAACTCCGCATCATGGTCACACCCGTACCACGGTTCTGGAAATTAGCCGACCATGCTGTTGCGGACGTCATTTTGAATTTTTCATGGGTGGATTGCAAAGACGAGGCTTTTGCCCACTTGTCCACACATTTTTCAGCGCGTCATGCTGTTTTTAGTATCCACAGTGGACGCAAATGCTGTTTATAGGGACGGACCCTATCCTGCTCAGCAGCCGGCGCATACTAGCATGGCACATCAGGCATGTTGCAATGTGTCAATGTTGAGTTCCTGGCCCGGCCGTACGTCGCTGGGTGCATGCCGGGCATGTCTCCCGCCACATCAAGTGTTGGGCATTCAATAGCGAATGCATTTCTGCCTTACCGGTCTCCTGTGCCCACCCCGTCATGTACCCCATGACAATAATTACAGACAACCGTCAATGTCACATACCCAAGGTCCCCATCCATCAAGACTTGCCCTTTCGCTTTGCTAATACTTAAACGCCACTCAGTGAGTGACTCCCCATGAGTCAGCTCCCTTTCCTATACTTCACTCCCTCAACTCCCTCTCCATCCCACAACTACCATGAACTCCACTTTCTACGGCGGGAGGGCAGGGTGCAAAACAAGATAAGGATGGTGGGGACCGAGGGGGTTGCCTAAATAGCCGCCCCTCGCTGCCCTGCCAAAGCCCAGCAAACTCAAGGGCGCCATCGCTGGCGGCACCTCGTATTTTCGTACTTTGACTAACCCACAGCACTAGGGTGGCCAGAAATCCAAAGGGACGGGGGGTTGAGTAAGCCCCAGGAACTAACTTTCGTGCAAAATGTTGGTAAGGGGGTCACGGAAAACAACAGAACATGCATCCTCTTCTCTTTTTGTGTACCCAGAAATGGCAATGTTGCGCACAAATTTCCTTGTTTTCTGACGGCCAATCTTGAGCACAACCGTTTTGCACAAAAAAACACAAAATCGCGATGTTGCGCACAAGTGCAGCCTTTCGGACCTTGCCGACATTTTGCACGAAAGGCTGTTCAGGTTCAAATTGCACCGTTTGAATCACCGGGGCAGCCCACCCATCGTTGTCCTTGGCAGAAACCCATTAACAAGATAATTAATTTCATTTCTGCCTTACCAGTCTCTTGTGGCCACTCCGTCATGTACCCCATGACAATACTTACAAACAACCGTCAATGTGATATTCCCGAGCTTCCCATCCACCAAGACTTACCCAGTCAATCTCCACGGGAACTCAAGGCCCCTCCGGGGCAGAGGATGTGCCCGAACTGCTCATGCAGATCACAGGCGGTGATGGTCATCTATCCAAACAAGCGGAAATTCCCCTCCGTAGGCAAACAAAAAATATCGATGTATGACCACATCACGTTGGATGTTGCGGCCCTGTCGGTGGCCGCTGGTTTCCAGAGACGTTGGGGTCGCCCTGCCCTGCAGCTCGGCTGTTGGAGGTCAGCCGGTCCTCTCCACCTTGTCCGGTGGGCGTATCCGGGGCAGTCGCTCCTGTGGTCGCGCGGTGGGCCCAATGCTCGATGGGGATCGATCCCCGGGGCCTATTGTTGGCGAGAGGTGGCGGCACAGCGGTTAGGCCAAAGAGTGGGCCAGAACGGTTACATGATTCACAGCATGCGCGCGCACAAATCCGCATGCGCGATGCCCGATCGCGGGTCCATCATTGTCACATCAAGACAAGACAACACAAGTGCGCATTCAGGCACATCGTCACCGTCCACCGTTCACCTACAATCAACTCATTGTCCTCTGATTCCAAGCATCTAACACCCGAACCTCTGCCCCTAAGTACTACGACTTTAGAGGGCCATATCTTCACCAATTCTTAACAGAATCGGGCGTTTCAAATTGAGTTGGAACCAAAAAGCTCTAAATAATACTCCCAAAAGGTGCATTTACCCAATTACGTAATTCCCACTTCAGAAAATGTCAAAAGTGCTTAACCTCAAGCAGCCACATCACATATGACTTCCACCCACCCCAGTCCTGGATACGCCCCTCCGCAACCTCCAAGGCGAAGCAGCTAGACGTGCCACCTCCGCATAGGTTGCGACACATAAAAGGCTCCTAGGCGAGGTCCAGAAATTGCGTGATGAGGGCTGAGAGATAGGACACCACAGTTTTGGACGAAGGGGTGGCCTCGCTAAGTAGGCGGTAGAAATGGCGCGGTGGTTGGTCCGTCTATGCCCAGGTGCGATCCCGGAAGTCCGGCCACCGGCGCAGGAGGGCGACCACCTCCGGGGCACCCTTGGAAGGCCACGACTAGTAGCGCGACGAGGGGGCCTCCTCCGGGCGAAGCTCAGACTTGCGTTCCCGGAAGACGATCACCTCTGCATTGATGTGAATGTCATCCATGAGAATGAAATGGCCCGACTGGGCCCAGTTGAAGAAAAGGTAGTCAATGTGAGTTGCGCACGCTGCCCGAAGGGTGAGCTCATCCTCCATGGCCAGGCCAACATAAAGG